TATATATATATATATATTGATGAGGTCAAATGGAGTAAAATTGTAAACTGCATTTTGAAATAACTAGGAATGCAATAAAATAAAGTTTCTAAAATGCCAAATTCATATGTTCAGTGTTTTCACTACAGCGCGAGAATCTCGCATATTTTTTCTTTTCTCTCATTTAACAATGATTACCGCGAGTAATTCGCGCATTCTATAAATTAATTTCAAAATTCGCAAATTTCTCGCATTTTGGAAAAACATTAGAATTACCACACTTAGAATAAAGTCCGTTTCACTTTTCTTCCTTGATCTTTCAACATCTGACCCGTTATCTAGCTTCCCCATTTACCAGTATTGTTCAGAACCTTTTCTAACAACAGAAAACAACCCCTTTCAGAACACATTTCTCTGCAACCACATGTTTACCGTAAGGTTTCTTCACGTAAGACGTTCAAATTTTTAAATAATTAATGCACTAATGTAAAAATACCTTGTAACAGCAAAATCTTCTATGATGATGCAGCAAAAATATTCAATGCTTTTAAAAACAGAAGACGTTAAAAATGTGTTATAATTAAAGAAATGATTTTTTTTCCAAGAGTTTTTGTGTTTTTTTAGTTTTTAGAAATCTCACTTAACTTTTTGAAATCTCACCCTGTTTCTGAGAAAGGGTGAGAAATTCTCTCTCTTCAAAAAATGGGTGAGAAATTCTCATCCATTTTTTTTTCTATGATGAAAACACTGTATGTTGCAATTATTATAAAAAAATTATATTTCATAATAACTTTCATTTAATAGGTAAATTCATTTATTTATTTTGAGTCTACAAAATTATTTCAAGATTAATATTAGATTACATACATGTGATTGTTGTGCAAGGAATTTCACTCATTTTTTCAAATTATCTATCCAATATATTACTAAGCATAACCATATAACAATTTATCATCAGTTATATTAATAAGATATTTAAAAAAAAAAGATTTTATGATTATATGGAGAAAGACTATTTTAACATAAATTGATTGCATATTTTTTTAATGACATACTTTTCAGGCACAGTACTGACATAAGGCATGACAACTTTGTCCACAAATGATCCAAAACCAAGCCGAAAATTACTGGTAATGTTCCCCATTTCTCCAGATAGTTTATTGCCAAGTTCTGCTAATTTTTCTTTATCATCTTTCATAGAATTGGAAAGATCCATTAAGTAGTACAAATCAACTGGGTAATCTTCTGCTTGACGAAATTCAACCACAAGAGGGAATGGAGAATCTTAAACAAATAAATAAATGAAATAAATCAAATTTTTTTCATTTTTTTTTTACTTGAAATAGTTTTTAAAATTAACACCTAACAAGAAGTTTATAAGCAATGTCTGCAAAAAAAATTATAAGTATCAATTAAATTAAAATAAAGCAAAGGGTCAAAATCAGGCTAAATTTTCAAGTAATTTTTACATAAATTTCATATTTAAAATTTTTTATACTAAGATTCTGCTTGCAATGATTGATTTTGAAAAAGAAATAATTCACAGTTCCTATCTCTGCTCAAACAACCACTCATTTGTACCTTGATCTTGAGGAAAATATTTTAGATATAGATCTTGTAGCAAGATCTATATCTAAAAAGAAATACAGAAAACTATATAACTAGCTACTATTTAAAATGAGAAAGAAATATCAACCATAAAAAAACTTTAAGGCAAAAATAAAGTGCAACATTTCATAAATGTTGAATATAATTTATTCATTAGATGCTTTTTTCTTTAACAAAAGGGACACATAAAGGAAATTGGTTAAAAAGTCTAGTTCTGATTAAAGCCTTCATGATTAAAATAAGATTAAAGATTAAAATTAATTACATTTTTCAGTACCTCATTATACTTACTTGGTCTTAACTTTAAAGTAATTTCTTGAGGTTTTATTTGAATTGCTTCCCCTTCTTTCACACCCTTATTGCTAAGTTCATGGTCCTGTAATAAAATTAAAATTCAGTAAACAAAAGTATATTTAATAGAAATTATATTACATTTTAATCCTGTTAAATAATTCCCTTATATCTTGAGATTAAACAGGGGTTTTAGGCTCAAGTGATTTGAAGTGATTTCTTAATCTATAGTGACAATTGTTTGCAGTATTTAATCTGTTACTTATTTCAATTTAGATATAATTATTTCTTGTTGTGAATGAGCCTAGATATTAGAACTGTCCAACATTTTCAAACCTGTAGTCTCCAATAATCATTGGCTGTAAAGGGTGCATAAAAAAAAAGAATAACTATTGATCAAATGATCAGATTTTCCCATTCAAGGACTTATTTTTTAAAGTTTCAGGTGATCTCAAATAGGCTAATTAATTAGTGGAGACAATATTTAAAATTACAGAATCAGACACAAAAACGCACTTTCTCAGTTTTTTTAAAATTTATAATTCTCACCCAAAATATAGGGAGTAGCCGTTATTTGGGAAATATGGTCCCAACCCCTTAATAATAATTTTACTTTAGGTTTCTTTGGGGGGAGGACGGGCTAATATTTTAGGGTTTTGCCCTAATGAGCATCTTACATATTCTATCATTTACAGATTTAAAGTTGATGAATTTATTTCACAAATTTGTGCTTATTATTAATTCAATTGACATGTAGTGGCTCTTTTTCTTGGCAACTATAGTAAAAGCTACACGTTCTTTCATTTAAATTTCCATGTCTAAGCTATCTTATTTCTTGAATAGTCAGGACATCTATTTCGTATTTGTTAACTACATCAGTTGGATTCTTTAACACTCCTCCTTTACATAAAGTGCCTGTTTTAATTTCCTTTCTCATTCCAAGTCACCTGGATGCGTTCCATTCAGTTTATACTTTTTGAGATTTTTGAACACATTACATACAGGATGAAGTCGTTAGTCTCATGCTCAACCCCTAACCTGGAGAGACAGGTTGTAGCATTTTTTCTGTTGTCTTACCACAAATTACCCAAGACAAGGTAGTAACTAAGTAAAATCAAAAAACAAAAACCTTAATAGCTACCTTAAGTTTTTGCATACTTTGACCAGGCATTACAATGTGATCATCCTTACATCTACCTCTAAGATTACCAGTGTAGTCACATCTTCTACTACCATCTTGAGTAAAATCCTACAGTAAGAGACATTTCAAGTATAATTTCTTTTATAAACAATCCTAATAATTCAGTTTATTTTACAATTAAACTGTAAATTAACTATAAATAGTTACTTTTCACATGAATAATAAAGATAAGTGTGAATTCATAACTAGTGCTTATATCAATATTACTTAATCAAAAAATTCCTTAAAAAAAGAAAGAAAAAATGTAACGGCATTCTTAAAAGACTTAACCAACAATATTATATAATTTCCGTTATAATAATTAAAGAAAGTAGCTGGAAATTTTAATTTAGTATAAGTCGGAATCAGAATCAAGCTCTCTGAAAAGTGTGGAGTAAGACTCGAATTCGAACATTTTAACTACAGACTTCACTGCTTTAATCGTCAATACGGAATCGAGCAAAAAACTGAAAGACACAATAACTAGAGTAAAATCTTTACCATGGTTTTATTTATTGCCTTTCTTTACACAGTGGCTTCCTGTTCTAAAATTAATAGTAAAATATTTTTGAAATTTTTCTCATGAAAATAAAAATTGTAATTAGTATTATTTGGCATGATGCTATTCTTCAAGGCCATCTCAAGATAGACAAAATTTATCACAATCAAGCAATTTTCTAAAGTAAGTACTTATACCTTTCAGAAAACCGTAAGAAACCTATTTCCTCAGTACAGTAGTATATTTGGTAGCGATTAAAAACTGCACCAATTACCATAGTACAAGCAGTACTAATTACCAAAATTACTTAATCATTATTGGCATTAAATAGTTAATAGCATATAATATTATTAATATTTCAACTTCAGGTTCCATATAAACCCCAAAATTAATTATTCATAAATAAATAACAAAAAAAATATTACATACCTCTTGAGAACACCATGCACATTCAGGATCAGCTGTAATGCAATCTCCACATGTTTCTCTAGAAATGCATGGATTTCCAGTAAGCCTTTCAGGTGTTGGAAAGGCTTCAAATTCAGAGTGAGAAGAACCTTTGCCTAGAACAAAGAAATATAGTTTACATTTTCATGAAATGATAATGCGGACCCACCATTAGGTAGGTGCCCAGCGACTCATCTTATTCAGCATATATAATTTGGAGTTAAACATAAATGAAGAAACCTTAAAATTATTTTCAATATACCTATCAATATATTGAATATAGTCACACAGGGCTCAGAATTAATGGCGGATCAACATCACTAAAATCTTACACAAACCACGCTAAAATAACACCGAATGGTCTTGCATACCAGCTACTTACAAAACAGTATACTTCATAATTATGAATATTACACATTATGTGTATTTTTTTCTATCATTTAATTTCATTTTAAAAACATTTTAAAAATATTTAACACAACTATCTACTTATGGTAAAAATGCAATACTTAACTCGTTTAATAAAACATTGACTTATATAAAGCTTCATTAAAATTTTTATAAAATTTGTTTTAGGTAAACTAAGTAATTTTGAAAAATAATAACAAGAAACAATTAAAAAATAAGAACTATTATCAAATTAAAATAGAATTTTCCTACAACATACAAAAACTAAGAAACTTTTATTCTTTTATTTCAGAAAACATTTACAATTAAAAATATTAATTTATAATTTTAAATGTTAATATTAAAATTTCACTCAAAAACACATCATTTCACAATATGTCTCATCTGCTGATATCACAGTAACATCTAATAAATAGGTATTTATTTTTAAATTGTTAGCAGTAGCATAGCCTTGAATACCCCTGGTTTCAAGAACATTTCATAATACAGTTGGTTTTTATCATCATTAATTTAATTCATTTATTTACACCATTTTTCCTTCTTATATTTTTAGTATTCGTTTGTTTTACTGTATTAACTGAAGTAAAAATAGTCTAAAAGTCTTTTTATTCATCTACTAATATTTCCTACATTTGTTGACTATTTTTCTTCTTCTTTGGAGTGAAAATATTTATGAATTTAACATAGTAATAGGTGTCTAATCTTGTCGTCATTCAAAAATATACAAGTAAATTCAAAAGGATACAATACTTTATGAGGCATATGATGAACCGAAATAAGAGTTTATAAAATTTTAACAGCTTAATTAATAAAATTATGTATTAAACAAGGCTAGTTAAAGTAGTTTCAATTTTACTTTCATCAGTTTTTCATACTTTAATCTTTTTGTACATTTTTATTAATATTAATATAAAAACATTATTTTGTCATAATGATGTCCATACTACACTGAAATTTCTGACTATGCTTCTGATTTTAAACATTGATAAAATTAATGTTTTTTAAAAAAGACAGAAAATATGAATATTTTTTTAAAGGAACGAATAACATGTAAAATATAGTTAACTAATGAAACAGGTGAACTTACTTTGGGCTAAGCAAAATTTGATTAAAACAGAAAGTAATATATAAGGCACCATTGTTACTTCTAAAAAGAAAAAGGTTTAGTTATAAAACATATTTTTTTAATAAAGTAAGCATAATAATTCAAGAAAACAACACAAAGTTGCAATTTATTTAAAAAAACAGTATTTGAGTTTAGGTTTTGCTACGAGTTTTATCTTTTCATTTAGCAACTTTCTGATATGTATTTTTAGTTTCTTATAGACCACTGCCTGGTAATTATCAAAACCTGGCGATCATTCTGGTGTAGATATTTACAAATACAGAAATCTTTCTGAAACTTTTAAATAAATTGTAAGTTAAAATCAAAAACAGGCTTGTTATGATCCATGATCATACTTTGATTACTTTTTAATATTTAATACTTTTTTGGGCTACTTGTGGATTTTAATATATTTTTAAAAGATTTAATTAAAAATAATGATTATCGAAAAAATAACTTACGAAATACAAATAACATATACCTTGACTTTTTTTCTTAAAAAAAAAACAATCATTAAAATAAACGATACTAATTAAGATAATTTTCAATTATGTCAAACTAAATATGTGACTTTGCTATGTTATGGAAACAGAAAATATTACAAACAAATATAAAAAAGTCACCGTTGGTTTTTAAGAAATTATTATGGGGTGTGACGGGCGTTGGCTTCAGAGTTCCCTCACTGTATTAGTTTGTCAATGTAATAAACTTTTAAAATGCTTATAAATAAGAAATCGAAACATTTTAATTACAGTAAATATTTATAAATTGTAGCCTTGTGGCACATTTAAAATAAGACCATATCATGAGAATGTTAAATCTAAATCACAGATTGCAGTAAAAACGCTTAAATTAAAAAGAAATTGGACAAACTATAAAATTTAACACATGGAAATTAATATTTGATAAGAAAATCATTAAATACATGGGATTAGATGTTGAAAAAATCAATATTAATATTAGAAAAATAAAATAATTAAAACATATAGAGCAAGTTCGAAATTTTAGAAACCAAGAAAAGAAACACTTCGCAAAAAATGAAGTAAAATAATTTAGTCTAATTTCATGAAATTGAATAAATTAAAGAAAGTTTTTAATAAAAACTACAATTGAAGACAACACTTACTGATGATATTGTTTACACGAAAAGCAAGCTTTGTCTATTTATGGTTTTTCATGTCGCGATGAAAGAGTGTCACTCAGATCCTGAAATATGACGTCACCGGAAGAGGGTGAGGCATAAGTGCCCACCACATTTTTTCTCATTTTATCCCTAGAAGAGAAGAAAAAGGATTAAAATAGGGAAAAATAAACTTTTCGTCGCAGTCAGGGAATAAGAACTCTCTATACTCTCTCTTTTTTAATACTTATGGCCCGTGGCCTTTTTAATACTTATTTTCGTTGCCAAGCGTATGGCAACACTTCGAATGTTTTTGTTGTATCTGTTTTGCCATGGACATCTGCGATTTGAATAGGGTCTACAATTTATGGTTTATGATCTACATCTGATAAATTTTATTTTTATTTAGACTCTGGGTTTTGGTAAGATGTTCAAAATGTTTTTTATTATATGCTTGTGCCGCGTGTTAAATGTCTTTGCATAGTTTTTTGAATCTTAATTGATATGATATAGGGGGATATTCCCGTATGATAAGTGTTATATACATTTGTTAACTAATTAGTTTGCATTGGATTTGGCGGGATTTGCCAAGGCCAGTAAAAATCTTTCATATGACTATTATAACTAGCTATTGCCCGATCTACAGATTCTGAAATGTCTAATATGACTTAAGTAAGCTTGAAAATTTTAATAATTTAAATATTTCAGAAAGATGTTTTGATCTGATTATTCCCAGTTATTCTTTTTTTGTGCTCATGTTGATTTCTATCTCTCCTTTGACAGAGATATTAATGTATCACTAAATGTTTGCTCCAACTAAAATTGTCCTGGTTGCTAAAGAGATTTTGTAATTATTCTGCCATAGATCATGTTTAAAAATTCATGTCTGGAGGGTAATTATTAGTGATGTAACGAATAGTGATGGGGTCGAATACCGAATATTAAGTTTCACTTTTGAAATTTTAATTTTGTAATTAAATAATTTTTAAATTAAAAATGAAATAAATATTAACAAATTTGCTTTTTTAAACTTTCTATATTTTAAAAAAAATTAAACAACTTGATAACAAATTTGCAACAAGAAAACGTTTTTATTTATGTAACATTCTTGAATACACTTATGTATTATACAACTTAAATTGTGTAAATGTTAGATTTTCTAATAATTAATGCAGTGAAATGTAACTCTGCAATATTCACGATTAAATATATTTAAAAGCACATTTAAAAAAATATCTTTCTTTATTATTATGAATTTATTCAGCCAAATATCTAATAATATTCATATTAGGCCGAAAAAAATTCAGTATTCGCCTAGGCCGAATATTCGTCAAAAGGGCCGAATACCGAATAGTGACCGAATATTCGTTACATCCCTAGTAATTATGAATTATACCTTTCTAGTTGGTCTCCATGTGTGATATATTTTTTTAAAATTTCTTCTGGGCCATTGCCTGGAAGTTGCCTAAATTTGATGATTTTTTTTTAGCTTAGGTACTGATGGAAAATTTCATTTAGTTTAAAATATTAGATGGAAAATATCATTTTAAACAATGTATATGTTTACAGAAATAATGTAATTTTTACAGTAATAAATATAAAACAATGACTTTCATTTTTGAGAGTGGGGTGACAGACTTTCTATTGAATTGCTTTTTTAAATAATAGTTTAATTCAGTACTGAGAAAACAAAGCCAACTAAATAAAATAACCATTAAATAAAAGTGAAGGAAAAATTAACATTTAGTTAAATTTTAAAAAAATAAAATATATAATTTTAAGTTAATCAAGTTACTGTACAGGGAAAGAAAAGATTGATATATATATATATATACAGGGATCTGTCCAGGCCAAATTTACTACCGTTGAGTGGTACCTTAAAAAATTCAACTTTAGGAAAAAACGGTAGTTTCACACAATACTTTTTCTTCAAATTTTATTTTTGTATCCCGTAAGAAACGATAAATCCATATTTTTGTGTTGATTTTTTTAATATAATTCTTAATTTTTCACAAATTATGTCTAAATTTTCACAAAATAGGTACCTCTCAAAAAAACCTAGACAGACCCCTGATATATATATATCGATTCACAGTACCCTTATGGTGTGTAATTCCTGAATAAATTTTGTTTTCAATTTAATTTCTAAAAATCAGTTTTGATGGTTCATAGTGTTGTTGTTGATACAACTTTATACTTCAAATTGATATAAAAACTTTATTATAACTAATATTAACAGACCTGACCCTCAGGCTTTAAACCTGGGTATCGGCTTTTATGTCGAACCTCATAGGACAATATTTTCTCTGGAATTTCTCTCTGTAAAAACATGATTTATTCTACTGTCACACAACCAATAAAATTGTATTAAGTCCAGATAATGTGTAAATAGAGAGATTATATAAGAATGAGGCAAACTGCCATAAGATGCAGTAGATTAAGTAGTAGTCAAATGTATATTATTATTCAACTATTTTTGAAGAAAATATGTTATCTCATATACATACTGTATTTTCTCATTTACATTAATGATTAATGTATTACATTAATGAGAATGTTGCTTCAGGTTTATCCTTATATTGCTGCTCTAGTCTAAGAAGTCCCAACCTATTTCTTTTCCTCAAAGGTGATAAAACAATATCTACATTTTTTCAACCTCTCTCCCACATTCATTGCTCATTTACTCCTCAACTGTAAAAAGACTCCTGATTAAAATTTAATTAAATAATTCAATTTGTAGTAAATTTGTATTTTGATTTTAAGTTTTCTATGGGAAAAAAAATTAATCATAAAAATTTTGTTTGGCTACGGATTTTTAAATTTGGCTAATACATTTGATATTTGGTTAATTCACTGTTTTCACTACAGAGCGAGAACGCAAGAATCTCGCATATTTTTTCTTTTCTCGCAATAAAAAATGATTAATGCGAGAAGTTCGCGCACTCTATTAATCAATTTCAAAATGAGCGAATTTTGGAAAAAATTTCGTCTTTTGCCATTTTGAATAAAATTCTTTCACTTTTCTTCCTTGATCTTTCATTATTTTGAACATTGGTCCTTGTTATCTAGTTTCCCTATTTACTAGTATTGCTCAGAACCGGTGCAAACAGCAGAACACCCTCCCCCCTGAACCACGGAACCCCTTTCATGACACATTTCTCTGCAACCACGTGCTCACCATAGGTAAGGTTTCTTCGTGTAAGACATTTATATTTTTTGTGCATGAATGTAAGATGGACAAATACCTTGTTAAGGCGACATCTTCTACTTCGTAACGGACAAATGAAAATGAAACAAATGTTGGTAGAAAAGAAACGATCAAAACGAAACAAATATGGATATTTTTCAGCCAAATAAATATAATAGCTGATGAAAAAGTAGATATAGAACATTTTCCATATGATGATGCAGCAAAAATATTCAATTAGAAGATGTTAAAAATGTATTATAATTAAAGAATTTTTTTTCCCAAGTCTATTTTCCAAGTCTATTATTTTTTAATTTTTAGAAATCTCACTTAACTTTTTGAAATCTCACCCTGTTTTTGAGAAAGGATGAGAAATTCTCTCCCATTTTTTTTCTGTAATGAAAACAATGGTTAATTTATTGGCTAATAATTTGAAGTCCTGAGTATGGGCCCTTCATTTGCATTCCTGAAAGTTATTAATTACCATTAAAATTAATGAAAATTCATACAAAAGTCATAATTTTCAATTTATTGTGCTAAGTTTATCACACATAAGCTATAAACATGTTTAATTTTAGAATTAGCTTAATAAAATAAGTGTACCCTATCACTTTCTACATGTTTTTCAGATCAGAAATGGCTTTCAAGTTACTTACTAATTTTTGATGATCATTGTAACATGTGTCATATCATCCATTCTACCTGCCCTATACCTTGTACATTATTATTATTAAAGAAGAAGTACAGAATTATCTGATAACTTATGCTTAAGTATTAGTCCTTATAATTCTGAATAAAACAAGTCTCAAAATACTATGAAATCAATTAAAATTTATATAGCAATCACATTCACCTTTAAAATAAATTTAAAATCTTTGACTCATAATAACAATAATATTTTAAAATGGTTTAAAATATAATTTTCAGTTACAAGCAGGTGACTTATTTTAAATTGAAGTCTACTTTCAAATAAAGTTGTACGATTTTAATTGATGATTTAAATGAAAAACTTTTTCCTTGTTTGTATTGACTAGTTTTATCATTTTCAGTGATTTCTATTTGAAGGGTTTTTGTTGTTGTCCTGATTTTTATCGTTTTATCCTGATATTCCTTATTTTCTTTGTTTCTTCAAAGAGGACTAACTTGTGATTTGAAAAGAATCAAAATTAATTTTAAAAGAAAAGAATTTTTTTTTATTTCAGTAGGAAAAATATAAGAAAAAGTAGACAATATTAAGGTCAAAACAAACAATTTTTTATTTTTTTATTATTTTTTTAAAATAAAAATATGGAATCTAAAATCTATTAAATGAAAAGGAGTTAACAGGAAGAATGAAATCCCTACTATCTTTATCACCCCCTTTCTTTTTCTTCCGAAGAACTAATTATTGCTGAATCAAAAACAAAATGATTTTCTACCATGTTTTCCTATAAGACAGTCACAGAATAGCATTACCTTTTTAGAGTTCTACCAATAATGAATTTAATTTTATGATTTATTAAAAATCAAGAGAAGTTTAATGATATCTTAAAAGTAGTGAGATTAGTGCAATTATTTATTATATCAAAGAATAGAAGAGGAATAAAAGGGTAAAGAGAAATTGTTGTAAAAAACACTTAAAAAAAACTTGCAGTCCATTTTAAAGAAATAGTAAGCCATTCTTCCATGTTACAATTTCATAATTTTTAATAAAAGAATCTATTTAAGTAGCTACGTGCTTTGCTGAATTCTAAAATATGCCTGATATAAAAGTTAAATACTACTACGAGGATCTTGTCGCAGCTGTATTCTGTAAAATATTTCACTTTTGTGACTAAACTATTATTTTGTACCAAAAATTATTTGTGACTATTGAAGCTGTTTCAGAGACTCCTTATGTATTATTTTGGTTTCTTTAAGTACGTTTTGTTATTTTATCATGATGAACTGAAAATTGTTCCCTGATCTGAGGGAACATGCAAGGGTGCCACTCTTACGTCTGAGTGAAAACTTCAGTCTTATTAGTTAGATTCTTTTAATTTTGAGTAACTTTTGTTTAAAATAAAAATTCATCATTTTCACTTTGAGTTTTCATTATCTAAAATTATGAAGTAATGTCATATTGCATTTTTTTAAAGTGTTTGTTTTGATACACTACAAATCTTAGTTGTTTTGGAGTAAGTGTAGCCTACATTTTTTTTTTTTTTAAATAAAAGGGTTAACCTATTTTTACCTAAGGATTTACCTAGAGTGTTAGAACACTTCAATTAACAAAAAAAAAAGAAAAAAGCTTGAAGAAATGTGTTGCACCAAAGAAAATATTTAAGATTTGGTTTGTTCAATTTTTTTTAGTTGTTCGTTTTTTCTTCTTAAAAATAGTTAACTATTTTCTGTATGTTTCTCTATTATTAATTATATTATATTTTTTTGTAGGTAAGATCATGTCTGATTCTGATGACTCTAGTGAATGTTTGCCAGATTTTTATTTACAGATTTCATCTGAATGCTCTAAATCTTCCAGAAAAGTAAGACTTTTATAATGATCATTCTGCTATGTTATGTTTTTTTCTTTATGTTTTGTTGACATGAAACATATGCAAATCAAAGCTACACTGCACAACCACGTTATACATGGTTAAAACTTTTTCATGTCTAAAAGTTTTAAGTTGTGCTTATATATGTAAGTTTTAATTATTTCCTTAAAATTTTTGTTTGCATTTTATTATGATCCTTAAATTATAGGGCTCATTATGAAATAGTTGTATATAAATAAATGGTGTTGTTATTTCACAGTATGGTATTTAGTTTGTCTGAATCAGGAAATTTTTATCTTATAGCTCAGGGGTTTCCAACTTACATGAGACCGGGGGCCACAATTAAAAACGCATATCAACTGGCTGGCCGAAACTTTATCAAAATTTTATGTAGGACTCTTTTATACTTGAAGGAACATTAAATATTACTGTCAGATTTTTACCAAGTTGTACAAAACAAAAGTATTGAATTACAAATTAAAATAAGAAGTAGATTTTAAAAAATATTTAATTGCATATTAAAAAATTCGGGCTACAATAACTTTAATGTGCATCCATGTATTAAACAATTAATGTGCAACAGATATCTAAATGTTAAGATATAAAACTTTAAAAAGGTTGGTATTAAAACTTACATAGTTTCACACAAAATGTTCAATGACAAAATTGAGTTTTGTCTGCTGCAACCATCAGAGAATAAATATTTACATTTAAAATTTTGGATGCAAACCCAGAGAAATAAATTTTTTTGCACCGTTGGTATGTTAAATTTCACAGAAACGAAGAAATTATGTTTTTTTTTTTTAAACGAAAGAAAAGTATTTTAAACCCATAGTGATTTTTTACTAAAATTGTCCGCAAAAAATGACAAATAATATATTTTAGTTCGCGGGCTATCGCATGGCATTACAGACAATTTTCTGTATCAACAACTACAGAATCAAAATGTATAGCAGCATCTACAGCTGTGAAAGAAATTATGTGGCTTAGCTAATTGTTATGTGTCATGGGTGAAACATCAATGCATGATACAGAGGGTGTTTCTTTGAATATTGATAATCAAAGTACAATAAAATGAATAAAAAATCCTGTAAATCATAAGTACACCAAACACATCAATATTAGTTATCAATTATGAAAATTGCACACATCCTTGATATGCTCACTGAAGTCTTACCTAGAGACAGATTTTAAAAACCTACAATTTTCTTAAACTGTCTTGCTAGATTACAATTTTTTTTAAAGATTATTTTACTTTTTTGACAATTTAAAACTTTGGGGTGTTAAATATAACTCTCTTGTCTGCATCATTTATTTAACCTAAATTGGTTATTTGTTTACTTGTATCTGTGATTATTTTTGTTTTGTACTTTTGCAATTTCTTTTCATATTCATTTTTTTTATTAGTAAGAAATAAACCTTATCTTTCTTTGAAAAAAAAAATAGAATGCGTTACTGAATAATAATAATTAGTATTTTTTGTTGCTTAAAAGCCTCCCGCTTAAAGATTGGAAAGAAGTATTGGAAGTGATAAGCATTTATTGGGAAAGTCAGCTATTTGTTTTTATATTATTCATGGTAAAAACTTTTACATATCAAAAACTGTAAGGTTTTTTTTCCCTTTAGTACTATGTTAAGAAAAATTTCTATTTAATGTTTACTCTTTTAAAATATTTTAAGTGCTGTTCATAATTTTTTTTAAATCTAAATTTTTTTATTTCAATAGTCTGTTGCAGACTTACTTAATGAAACACAGGCAATGATCCAAGAATGTGAGAGTGCTGCTGCAGTAAAACAGAAAGAACAAGAATTGGCTAACTTCATAATTGACAGCAGTTCCCCAGAGCTAGAAGAAGATACAAATGAAAATGAAGTTTTTAAAGAAAGCGTAAAGATTTTTAATTTCCACAGTTCATTTGTTTTCTTCTGTTTAAATGATGTAACACTGGAAAGTTCAGGTCACTTGGATGATTTAACTAAATTTGAACACATTTTTACATCAAAGCGACCTTCTGTATTAGAACATGTTTTGTCTTCGGTGTTGTCAATTTTTACTTCAAATTTAGCAATTGAAACTTCTGTCAGTCAGACTAAAACATTTATAAACTTTTTGTTAAAAACTATGTGCACTCATAATGATGAAGGAACTGTTCAAGGCTGTTATAATGTAATAGAGCAAGTCATCAGAACTCAGTCTGAAGTGAAGTTTTCCAGTGAAGAGATATTTACATTTCTTTTCAATTATGGTAAAAAAAAATTTAAATTATTTTTATAAAAATGTTTGTGTTAATGAAATTCATGGAAAAGGCTTATTTCATTTAAAATCACATATAGTTTTTTGGTACACTTAAAAGATTTTTTTTATAGTTTAAAATTACAGGAGTTGAGCAAAATAATGGAAACACTTCCATGCTAAAACATTTTTTGATCTTTCTTAAAAAATACTTAGAGAATTTTTTTATAAATATAGAAATGTTTATGATATGCAATTTCTCATACTTACATTCAAAGTAGTTAAGAGCTTTCTGAGGTTTGAGGGACCAACAATAAATAAAAAAAGAAAAATAGTATTATTGAACACCCTATGCCAAGCAGTTAATTTGTTACTAGTAACAATTATTTTGGATAGTATATGCAATAATTGCACAAAATTTTTTAAACCTAGCGTGAATATTTACGGAGATGTTGACATTTTTATAATTATACAGCAAAAAGTCCCATATTCAGGCATCCGTTTAACTGGGTCTCTTTCTCCGGACACTTTTTAACGATGACACTTTTATATATAAACTAATTTTTTTGCTATAACTTTAAAAATATTCAATAAAATTAAGCGAAAAATTTGAAGCTGTTTTAAATTAATTGCAAAATTGTTGCTTTAAAATTTGAGAAATTTTTTTTTAAAACTGTGCAAAATATGAGTAATTAGAGTAGTTCTTTTATACTGTTCATTCGTGGGAAAACTATCTAATTATCTTCTATTAATTTTATCGTCTCTTAATTAATTAATTTATCTCTTAATTTTAATGATGAATTTTTTTTGCAATTAATAAAAAAATATGATTTGAATATCTTAAAAATTTCAAAGTTTCAAGCAATTTTTTAAGTAGTTTTTGTACTTTTTAATAGAAACTCAAAATAAGGGATTTTCTATAAAGATTGTTTTGTATAGTAAGACATAATACCTTACAATAAACATTAAGTACGAAAACTACCTAAAAAATTGCTTGAAACTTTGAAATTTTTCGAAATTATTCGACTTTTTTCATTAATTGCTAAATACGCTACGAAATTATGAAAAATTTTTTGTGCCCGTACGCAGTATAAAACACCTACTTTAACTACTCATATCTTGCACACTTTTCAAAAAATTTTTTTAACATTTTGAAGCAAAAATTTTGTAATTAAGTTTAAATTGCTCTGAAAATTTTGTTTACATTTATTGAATATTTTTAAAGTTATAGCAAAAACGTAAGATTAAAAAATGAGTTTTTTTAAATTTTTTTTTAAAAATAAAAATGCCGATATGTCCATTAATTTTTAAGCTAGGCTTACAAAACTTTGTGCAATTATGGCATATAATAACCAAAGTAATTCTTAGAAGCTTCAAATTTATTGCTACATATTTTGGCATACGGTGTTCCAAAGCACTATTTCCCATTTGTAATTTATTGTCAGTCCCTCAAACCTCTGAAAGCTTTAAACTTCATTGATAAGTATAAGAAATCGCATGATGTAAACACTTCCGAAGTTATAAAATGATTCTTTAAGTATTTCTTGAGAATAAAAAATGTAATAGGATAGCAATTGTATATGGGTCATTCTCACAAAAACAGTCATTTTTATGTCCCCAGTATATTTTATGTTTGTTTTACAGCTTACGAAAAAAAAAATTCAGGGAAAGTGTCCTTCGAAATGCAAGCTAACAAAAGAATAAAAATAAAATTATCAATTTTTATTTTTTATTTATTTTAGGTAATTAAAATATACCAATATGTCATTCCCTCACTTGTCCCCACTGCTGATTTAAAAAAAGAAAATAATTGTTTCTGAAATAAAAAATTTTTTTTTACAAATTCGTGTTTTTTATTTCAGAATACTGAAATATAGAATTCAGAAAATCAATTTTAAATTTAATTTCTGATAAAAATATTAACACAGCACTATTTTAAACTTTGTCCCCAGTGTTTCGCGTCATTCCCTCACAACAATGTTCTTATCACCTGCAATCTTCTTAGAATAAAAATATTTTAATAAAAACTTCAGAAGTTAACAACTGGCATCATAGAACAAAATTGCAGTATGTTTCCATCTTCAACTTAAAGAAGCTTTGCTGTGGAATAAATTTGAATGAATCAAACCAGGTAAAATTTTTTACATTTGTCATTCCCTCATGTCATTTTTTAGAGTAAAATAAAATACAACTTCATCGAGAAAGTGGATAATTATATGTTGCTTTCTTGTATGAATATAATTGTATGTGATTGACTTCAGAAATTAATTAGGCCTAACTGTTATTTTTAAATTTTATTGAATTCGTCATTCCCTCACTAGTGTATAAAGTGAGGGAATGACGCTGAAGTGAGGGAATGATTCAAGATGAGTATATTATTAAATTTTTTTTTGTTCAATCGTGCCAGCCAATTTTATTTCCCAAACCTGTAAAAACTATTAAATATATAAGACTAAATTATAATAAATATTAGATATACTTAGTATGTTATCATTTTCAAACTTTAGGTAGATGTAACTTAGATAAAAACATGTATTAAAATAAAATATCATTCCCTCACTATTAGTGTCATTCCCTCACTTTTTAAATAGTGAAAATAATTAATTTACTTATTAATTAATTTGAAAAATAAATTAAAAAATTAATAAATTAATTTATTAAATTAATTAATTTATTTATTAAATTAATTAATTAATTATTAATTATTATAAATTAATTAATTATAAATTAATTATTTAAAAAATTGATTAATTTAAATATTAAGTATAATTTATAGGATATATACTTTCTTTATAATGCCATTACATATTTCTATTAATATAAAAAGTTTCAGAGCTTTTTATTCACTTTACTTTTTTGGGATTTTATGAACTGAAAAATGACAGTTTTTGTGAGAATGACCCATATAATAATTCCATTATTTTGCCCACCCCCTTTGTTAATAAAATTGATATTAGTATAAAAGTGAAATGTTATTGGCTGTTATATATTTCTACGTATTTGTAAAAAATGGGTTACGCACCACTATTTTAACTTAATTTCAAAAACTTTTATTTATTTTTTTATAGAAAGAAAACTTATTTAAGCAAATTTTTTACAAATAAGTATGCTATTTGTTCACTAAACATGTCAATTTTACAGTTTTATGTGGACTTAGTTGTTTACTCTACAATTTGAACAAAATATTATTGAAATCGGGATATATGAGGGGATATTCTACATATCCTCTATAGCAGTGTTCCCCAAAGTGTGGTACGTGTACTCCCAGGGGTATGGGAACAGTTTAGCGGGGGGTACGCGTTCTTATGCGAAATATCTTGCAACAAACGGATATTTCATTTAAAAACGCAGCTAGCCATGAAAATTTATGATTACGTATTTTTCTATTGGCTATTTTTTGCAGAGTTAACAGTTAATAATTAGTGGTGTCAACAGCCAGTTGTGATTTTAAACTTTTGTGCAATTTTTTATAGCTAAAAAGACATAATTTCTTTTATTAGTGGTACACAGTATTACGAAAAATTTAGAAAGGGTACGCAAAAGTCATAAGTTTGGGAAACACTGCTCTATAGTATAATTTGCACAGATTATTATTTCACTAAGTGTCTTAATTTAAACTTGTTTGCAGAAAGATTTTCTGCAGTGATAGTGCAAGAAATGTTTGCTAAGAAATTATCGAAAAATCTTTAGCATAGTTATAATTTGAAATAATATGGAATATTTGGCAGAATAATTTGACAAAACAATGTGCTTTGTCATAAGTCTCTGTTTTGACTACTCAGTAACTAAAAGTGAAATACTTCTAATTTTTGCTTCTTACATTGTGACTCGGAACAAGAATGCCTTTTGGGATGATGCCTGATACTTTTTATCTTGTTCATTCGTAACACATTTCAGAGTTTCATTTGCTATAAATGAGATCCAAACAAATCTTTCCTAAATTTCTTATTTCTTATTTAAGATAAGCTTCATCTCATAGTGTTGTAGTAAGAAAAAGAAAATAAGCTGTTCAGACTTCCCTAAAGTAATGAGGCTCAGGGGAGCGCTTGCCTCCCAATAACTGACCCAGGTGCAAATCTCAATGATTTCTGTTCGATACAATTTTTGTACCTTGCTTGTACCAACCATTGCTGAGGAAAAAAGATATCCCGAAACTGACACTGTCACAGGCAGGGATGCAGAAAATTCTCAAAGCTTAATATTTCTCCAAAATGCAGTTTTTATTATTATTATTTTTATTTAAACCTTCCTTTAAAATATACTGTCTTTTCTTTTTAGGTTACATTAATACTTTTCAAAATATTTTTAGAAAGTAAAGTTTGTATATTGTTACTAAGTTTTAAAAAGTTTTTTAACAAAGAAAAAAATTAATTTGATTTTTCACAATTCTTGTATAAAGTAGCATATGTGTTAAGAATATGAGATGTAAAAATATATTAAATAATAATAATTTGTGCAACTAAATTTTAAGGTCTCACTTATTAACTTTAGGAATTCAAACTAATAAATAAATGCATAAAGTTATTTGTGTTATAACATAACATATGAACAGATTTAGCATATCAGGCAATCATTCCATTCTATCTCAAAAGAGAAAATGTTTCTGAGTAGGCATGTGTGGCGAGGAGGGGGGGGGGGAAGCAAAGCGCTGAGAAGCTTTAGGAATAATTCTCCATTTAATTTTTTTTAAAAATTAGACCAAAAATTTCCACGGGGTTGCTTAATTTTCCTCTGGAAATGCATTCACATGAAAGGACTCATTCTGTACCCCTGTTATTAAATAGACATCAGATGAATACCCTTATATAAATGAATCATGTATTAATCTCTTAGCTGTCAGGCTAACCGTGAGTGTTTTTCATGGTTTTTTACTTGATCTGAAGCAAATGTGGTTTATTGCGGTTACACAGTCCTCCACGAAGCCTAGATTGTCCCAATGGTTAATCCAGAAGTTCCCTTATGTTTGGGATTGGGTTCAAAATTACAAGGCTAGTCATAAACTAAAAAATAGTTCATTTATTCAACATCAGTTATTATAAAATAAAATGTATCAAGCAAAAAAATTGCAAGTAATACTATGTTTTGCTTTCTTTGAAGATTGATAGAAGCTATCAGCAACTTCGTTTTTTAAAAATTTTTTTTTTTTTTCAATTACGTCCATCATTTGCTCTCTTGAGCATGAGAAGTCTTGCAGTCCAATATAACAAAGAATTATCTCCAGGGGCGGAGAGCGTCTTGAAACTAGAAGAATTACGGGCCTCATGGAGGGCATAGCAGTTCCATCGATGCCCGCCATTCATAGGGACCCTATTTGTACATAGAGTACAGTTAGGAGAGTCAGAAAGACCAACACCGTGCAAGTGCGCCTGTAAGTAATCCTGTCCCGTCAACAATCGGAAAGATTAATAAAATATGAAACTCATTTGATGTGCATCGGTTTTATAATTAGTCCTACTTGATAAAATGCTTTGAACTTCTAATCTAAATGAATAGTATCTGCTTTAAAAGTATCTAAAGTTAAATTTTGCACAAGTTAGTTTTTTTGAATATGAATAAAATTATTTGGGATGAAGATATTTTAGGCATGAATACATAGTTGCAAAATATTATTTTTGATTAATATTTTAGTTCATTCCATGTTTCACTAGTGAAACAAAATTATGGAATCACCCCATTAAAAATTATGAAATTATGTCTAAGACTTTAAAAGGGAATATGAACATTCTCAACAAAAAAACACTATTAAAGCTTTATCATTGAAAGGAAAACAAATTTCAGAACTAGTCCTAGTTAAAATTTTATATTATTTAGAGAAATATTTATCTTCTTTAAAATAAGCCCCTGCTTTGGCAATTTTTTTCACCTAGATGAAAGTTATTAAAATCAATGAACAATTCTTGCACATTTTTATTAACTTCTGCAATGCAGCATTGGAATAACTTAGCACAAAATTATAACTTTTTATCATATTGAAATGTTTATCCTTTTACAAACTTAGCATTAAAGGGCATAGGCTGAAGATAGATAAATTGTAGCCTAACAGTAATGAACAGCTGCTACTACACTCAACACAATGAGATTTTCATAATTAGGTAGCGTAAGTTGGCATAGGCTAAATATGGATAAAACCTAACCTAACAGTAATGAATAACTTTTTATGGGCTTTTTCTCGTTACAAGGGTCATTTAATTCAATGAAGAACAGTTATTAAAAAAATATACAAAATCTTTATGCATTAACTTAAATAAACATTGATTCCTCTAATTTAAGTAATAAAAAATAATATTTTTTTTTTTTTTTTATGAAAACAGACTTAAATATCTCATTTTTTTAAAAAAAAATTCTCCATGTTATAAAAAATGGAGTAATGGGAAATTTTTGTAAACCTTTAGTATTCATATAAAGAATTTTATTGCTAAAAAGTCAGAAAGTACTATAGAAAAATTTAAGAACTCTAAACTTAATTTGAAATTTAAGGAAAATAAAATAACTCAATACTTAATACAAAGGAGATAAAGTAACTCAAACACTTGCAATGATATTTTCTTATAAAAAAAGTTCCGAAAACATTTCTAAAATTATTATTTCCAGCTGTCCTTCCATCGTAGAATGGACCTCTTTGGATGTCTTTTAACCTTTTCTGAAACTTCAAATTTTGATTGTCAGGCAACACATTAGCAAGTGCGACCTTTGAGAGTGCATTCTAGGTGAAATGACACAACTTAGCTTTTTGTCTAAAGTGATTGTAAAAATTTATTGAGCATTTGGAAGCAAATAGTTTCACATTTCTTGAGGTTTGTAATATCTTTAGAATTAGTGTTGCTAGACTGCGCACACTGCTCCAGAATGTGTTAAATGTTTACATCGTATGTGTTTTATTTTATCACCTTTGTTGAACATCCGAACTAATTTTGAGTTTACGACTACCAATCTTCAACCTCTTAGCCTTGTAATTTTGAATTGAAATCCAGAAGACAAGAGAACTCCTGGATCAAGTATTGAGCAAAATTTGCCTTTGTGGAGGACTTTTTGCTAGAACTAATCCATATTTGCTTTACAAGGAGAGGAAAACCATGAAAATTTCCCAAAAAGGGCAAGGGAGCTTTAATCTAGGGTCCGGGTGCAGAATTTGTAGTGCTGGGATTCGGACCCGGGTTACCTCGTTGGGAGGTGAGCGTTCTTTCCCCATAGCCATCATGGCTCATATCCCATCCTGTGTACATATCCTATCCTATTCCTCATATCCTATCCTAAGTACATTTTTAACAGTTTTATTTTAATTGTCTTCCTATGATAGATTTGTTGAAAGCCCTCTAATCTTTGCAACTTTTGAGTTTATTCCATTATGTTTAATTAATAAACTATATATGCACAAGTTTAAATTCTTGAAGGTCATTTGCAAGTTATCAGTTTTACAATGGCATCCAGTAACTTGTGAAATTTTCTAAAACTGAATGTTTGGCTCTTAGATCTCTTTAATGTCTCATACTCCGTAGCCTCTTAAATTGTTAATTAATCTAAAGAATGTATTTAAATTTTTTTTATTGGATGAAAATATTAGCTGAAATTCATTTGTCCCATATCAAGATATTATGCGTACTTTTATAGAATCTGTTCTGTTGAATTCAAAATGTTTAATTCAAAAATAAAACTTTTTTAAATAGGTGCTGATATTGACTCTTGGATGCTTTTAGATGTGCTACCAGGAGACTTAAGAAAACCTACATTTTGCAAATCAAGACACAATGGAATCATTGATGCATGGAAGGGCAATTTGAGAACATTTTTAAATATTCTGGAGTACATAGTGTTCTACTCATGTATTCCTGATGAGGACTTGTGTGATATCATTAAATATCTTTTATTTTCTTTTCTTGATGAACACATTCAAGAGGAGTATAATGTAGAAAGGCAATTTAAACAATGCATTGGTATCGTCTTAGAGGCAATACCAGAAGAAATCTGGCAATATGCTGTAAGTATATGTTTTTTCTTTTGTAATCTAAATTATTTTTCTAGTGTTTCTTCTTTCTGTTATTAAATCAATACTAGCTGTTGTAGCATTGAAGGGATATGAAGGAAAAAAAAAGCATTACCAACCAAACAATTTGCATTAAAAGTAAACTATTCTCGAAAAAAAAGTATTTGTAGTGTTACTATTATGTAAAAAAAATAGATAAATAAAAAATTTGAGCAAAGCAATATAGATACCCTTTTTATTTTAATCGTCCATGCATTTTCTTACTTTATTACAATGTAGTAATTTTATATTTGACCTATGACTTTACATTTTTATATTTGTAAGAAAAATGTTAGAAAGGTTATCACTAAAAAATGTGTTGTTGCATGAAATTTTCGCAATACTTAATTGTAACACTTTAGATTCACTACAATTTTAATTTTTGAGCATACTAAATAGTAATGTTAATATTTTTGTAATAATTTTTAACAATTCAAGCATCAGAATAGTTAAAATTTTTTTATGTATTATTTTTATTTTTAAATCTGCTACTTATTAGGTATTGTATGTACAGTACAGAACTCATTATCCGGAAATCTGAAAACCGGAAAGCCAAAAAACCGGAATAAAATTCAATAAATTTTCCCGCCATTTTTAAAACAAATAATTTTTTTCCTTATAAGATTTTAGGATTTTTCTTTCTTTTTTTTTAAAGATGTTTACCTTACCATCATTTTGGAAATAATCATTAGTGCATTACTCCATCGTTTTTTCTTCTTTTTAAGATTATTTCCAAAAAAATTTTTTTTTATAGTTTGGTTTAGCAATAAAAAAACGGTTTTTTGTAGCGATTCAGAAAACCGTAAAAATCAGTTATCTGGAATAGCGATGGTCCCAATCGTTCCGGATAATCGGTTCCCTACTGTACTATAAAATTTCCAAGGTTTTGTTATGCTTCTTGGTGACTACATTTTTAAATCTATGTTCATAACTAATGTTGTTAAATTTTTTATAATAATTTTTGGAGATCTATAAGCATCAAGGCACCTACAAATTTCTTCTTCTGTTTTAGCGTGTAACTAATCCCCAATACAGACGTGCCAACTCTCCCGCATTTTGCGGGAGTCTCCCGAATTTTGAGTTATTCTCCCGCCCTCCGGAATTGATTTGAAAAACTCCCGAATTTTACTGCGATCGACGGCCAAACTCAAAATTACCTAATTTTTCCGCGAGTGCGAAGGTAAGTTTTTCTTTCAGCTTGAATTCCATCCCCTCTTATCAAACTACCATCTGCCTGAAGCGTAGCTGAACATGCTTTATTTTCCCCCCTCTTCAACGTTACCTCTAAAAACACTCCTATTTCACCCGCCCCCTTACACTGGGGGCGGGTGAAATCTTCCTCTTCTTTCGTGTGGAGTTGAATGCAATGACGTCACATGTCGTTATCGAGTGACGTCCGTTCAGGAGTGGGGAAACTCGTACTCTCGATAGTTGGAATTGATATTGTATCTTGCTGTTTTTATAGTTTTTAATGCGTATTTTTCCACGGTTGGCAACAAGCTCGTAAACTAGCAACGTGATATCAATTATTCGTTTAGTCTTCGTATATTTAAAAAAAAAAAATTTCAAGGATGTCTTAAGTCGAAACGGAAGTATGGATCAATTTCAACAAATCATGTACCAATGACTTTAGCAAGACTTAATTGCGGAGAGCTAAGTCTGCAACTCTTTTTTTCATGCATACAGTAGAGAACCATTTATCTGGTATCCAGATAATCCGGAAAAAAAATTTGCTCGGTTCTCCCGCCATTTTGAACTAAAACGATATGAAAAAAAAAGCGGAAACTGGACTAATCCTTGAAGTTGAGTAGAGGAAAATGTGAGGAAGGGAAGAATTTTTTTCCCCGTTTACCCAGAGAAACGTCATTTCTTCCGCGACCTTGAAGATTTTAGATCTTTATTCTCTTTTAGGTCGTTAAACTCAAAGGAGTGGCATGATGATTTCGTTTGCTAGTTTGATTTACGAGGGGGTGGGGAAAATGCATTGCACATGCATATCAGTGAACAGAAGATGAAAGAGAAAAATATATTTATCTATTTGACATCGATTAATAAAAATAAAATGTTTTTCTTTTGAATAAATTCTGATTCTTTGGAAGTGCGGTATCATTCGCAAGTTTTTCTTGATGTGGAATCACACCTGCTTTAATTAAAAATCGCGTTTTTATAAAAAAAAAAAAAAAGGAGAATTGTTTATTAATTTAAGCATACAATTATTTTATGAAGCAGATTGCAGTTTCGTTTTTCTGATTCCACTACGTTTTTTTTTTCTTTTTCATGATAAATTTTGCACTCAATAAAATTATTTGTATTACCAAATTTTTTCATTAGTTTTTTTTTTTTTTTAAGTCCGTTGATCTTGCCTTGTTCTAGGTTTTAATATTTATGCTAGTGCCGTTTTTTAACTATCGTTTCGGTTCGATAATTTTCAAGTGTTGTTTTTATTTAGATTAATAGGTTTTCCTTTTATTTTCGCCCCCCCCCCCATGAAATATATTGCGTTATTTAATCATTGGTTTTGTTTATTAGTTGATTTAGGAATCGTAATTATTTTTTAAACTTGTTTTTCTTGTCTAAACTTGCAAATTTTTTTATTCTTTTAAATTTTATTTTTCTACAATTTTTTTCCTTTTTAGATTTAGGAGTGCTTTTCTTTTTTCTCTTACTTTAAAATGTGTTTACATTTTTTCCTTGTAATTTGGGTTTGATAAAACATCGATTAACGACACTTTTTTGTCGATCCAGGAAACCGGGAAATTAAGACATCCGGGATAGCGATGGTCCCGAGCATCCCGGATAATTGGTTCTTTATTGTACAGACATTAGTATTGAATTGGTTTTTTAAAATAAAATACTTATTCAATTTGTTTATTTTTTAAAAGTTTTTGTGTATTTTTATTACAGTGTCGGGTTTTTGAATAATGTTTTATTAAGGAAATGGTATTTATTTAAAGAGTATCTACCTAATATAGTTTTGTGTTGCTAAATCTGTGTTTAATTATTTTATTTCCATTTAATATTTTTAAACAATTATTGCTCTATTAGTGTGTAAAATTTCTTGCATTCTTATATTTAATAAATTTTTTACTTAAAATTCCTTAGAAGTGCCAAATGTTGCATACCATGCACCTTTTTTTACCCCTCCTGAAATCTCCTGAATTCTTGTTAGAGAAACTCCTGAATGTTAATTTTGCTAGGTTGGCACGTCTGCCAATAATTGCACTTAGCATACAATTTCCATATTTTTGTTATGCTTCTTGATGACTTTACTTTTTTATAATACAATTTTGAGGTTAACTATACACAGCAGGGGTGGGCAAACTACGGCCCGCGGGTCAACTGTGGCCCGCCGGAAGCTTTTATCCGGCCCGCGGACAGAATTTAACTTGCCGATCCGTGGCGAATATAAACATTATACATTATATATCCATTTTCTTGTCTACTTTGTTTAGAGCTATTTTTGTTCTTTCTTTTTTATCAAAGTACTGATGACCTTTTTACTTTCTCCATTTTTATTCTACAAAACATAAATTGATGGAAATAGTTAGCTTCACACAGACAGCTTCAATTGGTAAAATGTTGAAAGCAGAAGTTCATTGTAGAATAGCCGTAAATTGGCTCCAATGAGCATTTGTCTTTTTCGAGGACAGACACATGGAATCTAATACAGTAGGGAACCGATTATCCGGAACGGTCGGGACCATCGCTATTCCGGATAACTAATTTTTCCGGTTTTTCTGAATCACTACAAAAAGCCGTTTTTTTATAGTTAAACCCAACTAAAAATAAAAAAAATTGGAAATAATCTTAAAAATAAGAAAAAACGATGAAGTAATACACTAATGATAATTTCCAAAATGATGGTAATAAAAACAAGAAAGAAAAATCGTAAAATCTTATGAGGAAAAAAAAAATTTAAAAAAAAAAAAACGGCGAGAGAATTTATTGAATTTTGTTCCGGTTTTTTGGTTTTCCGGTTTTCTGATTTCCGGATAATGGGTTCTGCACTGTATAGGCGAATTGTACTTCACATGTTGCAGACAGCGCATTTTAAGCTCCAACGAGCGGATTTTTCTACCGGCTTGAGTTCTAACATCACTTACTGCGTATGGAAAGATTGCACACAAACAACGTCATTGTAAATAATGGTGAAATTATTAAATGCATAAAATGGCTATTGCTTTTTTGAGTTATTGGTAACTTTTTTTCCCCCAAAATGGCAACTAAAAGGTGCAAAGTTGATGTAGAGTGCCATGCGTTCAATGATGAATTGACTTAATTTTATTTTAGAAGTTAGAATTTTTATTTTAGAAGGTTTTACTCGCCCCACCAAGCTTTTTTTTCTCGATTTTTGGCCCTCGACCAAAAAAAGTTAGCCCATCCCTGATACACAGTATTATTCAGCAATAAAATTGATATGAGTTTGCTTTTTGTTAGTATACAACTTCAATTTAAATTTTTTTATTTTCCGTTAAACTTGTGACGCACTTATGGTGAAGTGTAGAATTGGCTCTCTACACATTTTCTCAAAAATTGTGAAATAACCACATCTTGTGAGGATAGTACACTCTTCTTCCACAAGAAGATAGTACTTCCACAAAAAGATTTCAAAAGGTTCATCTGCTGGCAACGAATACGATATTATGAATAACATCAAGACTTAGCACCAAATAGACAATTTATCAAATATGACGATGGAAGACAAACAAGACACTCACAGCGATAAGTAAAAACAATGATGATAGAAACAACTTAGCATGAGTGACAAATTAATTTAAATTCATCTTAATTTGTAAGAAGCTTACCAATACAGTCTAACAAAATTTGAACTACAGTAGAAAGTCCCATTTTGCATTCCCCGATTTTTGCGTTCTCTAAAATTGAGGTTGATTGTGATGATTCTTGGCGATAATAATTTTATGCAAAACGTGAGAAATAATATACTGTAGTTAAAGGCGAATTTTAATTCCGTGATATCAAATCGTTTTTCATATTATAGTAAAAATCGAATTAAAATCAAATAAAAATCAGAAATTGGCTAAAATTCGTAAAGAAGCGGAAAAGTGGAGGAACTTTTTTCCTTGCATACTTTTTATAACGGTTCGCAAATGTAAGAATAAAAAGTGTTTTTTGTAAGGCAAAAGAGTTTTGTTTAATTTGATCGTTAAAAAGTGTCCGGAAAAAGAGACTCAGTTAAATGGATGCCTGCATATGGGACTTTTTGCTGTATTATTATTATATCTAAATTTAAAATACATTGTGACTGTAACTGAAATTGTTATAATGAAAAAATAAAAGACGTAAAATCAAATAGGCAATTTATAACATTAATATGAGGATGGATAGAAGACAGATAAGATATTCACAACTACAAAAAATATTGGTAATCAAAACAGCATAGCTGTATGAGTGACAAATTTATATAAATCCATTTGAATTTGCATGAGGTCTTCCGACACAGTCTAACAAAATTAAGCTATTAAGTTTATCACTAAATTTAAAGTGCATTGTGAATGTAATTGAAAGTAATAATAGCTGTTATTAATCACCATTAATAAAATGCCATGACCATTAACAGAATGTCATGTCTAATTCACAACTATTTCATTCAGAAGTGACTAAACAAGTAATGTAAGCTTTTAAAATAGCAAAGTAATGACTGATCATAGTAGTGCAATAAAGTCTGCAAGGATTTTTTTGTTATAAAAAAAATTATTGCCTTTTAAATTGTTAAAGTTGTTAGCAAACACATCTAAATTAATTCAATTTGTATATTTTAAGATATTTTTGAATGCAATTTTATTTTGTATATTCCAGTCTCCCTCTATTTTTTTGTTACAAGATAGCAGATTTCTGGTGTTTCGGGTGCAGAAGTTGATTGCTGATCGCTAAATTTTTTACATTTAAAAAACTTTCAAAAGAGTCTCCAGTTAATCTCAAATCAAAATTTCAAGTTTTAAATATTTCAGTGTGTTCTCTCTGGATATAATAAACATATTTGCCTTCAGATAAAGATGCTGAATGTTATTGAATCTGACATGAATCATGTTCTGGAATCTTTAAATTTTTAGCTTTATGGTACGCTTTAAAAGTTTTGATTGTGTGTGTGTGTGTGTTTTTTTTTTTTTTTTTTTTTTTTNATATATTGATTAATCATGAAAGAAAATACAAAATTAATTGTATACATATTAAAAATAGTTTTTGTAAAAGGTAAATTCATACATAGTTATTCAGATCTATCTCATTGTATATAATGCATCGATATTTCATGATTAACTGATGTTCAACTTTATTACAAGTGTATAAGACAATCTCCTCATTCTTGTAAAATTTTGGTGGTTTGTTAAGTTGACTTATACATCAAAATATTTGGTATTTAATTTTTAAATGTTGCTGTTTAGTTAAAATTTGTTTCTTTTATGTTTTGATAATGTTTTTTTTTCTTTTCTAAATTTAGTTTTCAGTTATATTTAGTTTCATCATGTCTATCGGAAAGATTTCTTCTCTAGGCAGTTGGAATAATGTTTGTCTTCTTTGTAAAGTAATGCCCAAGTACTCTGAGAGAGGAATGATTTTACAAAAAGCAGTTGCAATCAGCTGTTTAAGAAAACTATCAGGTATCACAGATAATATTGAGCCAAATCTGGAAGCAGCAGAGTATTCAGTGAGTATAATTAATCTTTTTTTTTTTTCTTTCCACAGTGTGATATTCATCAATTTATGTAAGATTTTAATTATTGAAAAGTAGAGTGAATGAATAATATGAGTGGCATTTTAGTGAATTTGAGTAAACTAGCTTTAAAGTCTATATGTTACTGTGTTTCTTGTTGCTTTGCTATATCTCTTTGTTAATTGTTCATTTGTGTAGGCATGACACAAAATGTTTTGGCCTTAACTCTATAATAAGATATGATGTTGAATGTTTTTTATAACTTAAGTTCTCTTACTTTTCTTAGAAAATTCACGGATTTATTTTAATGGATAAATTTTGTTTTGAAGGTTAAAAAAAAATCTCTCATTCAGGCTTGTATTCTCAAAATACAACCTTAGTTTCTAAATTTTTTTTTCATTTTATCTGGTCTTATTTGTTTAAATACTCTTAATCTTTTTATGCTGAATTTTTATTAAATATATTTTTAAACTTTTTTTTTGTATTAATTTTATTATGAAATACAGGATTGGAACATCGTAGGATTGGTGCTTTTTTCTGCTTTAAAAGTAGAATCTTCTGAATACAGCTAAATTCCAGACAATTTTTGAAGTTTGCACTTATTTGTAGTTGTTTAGATCTAAGATAAATTGTTTTCATTTTTGCAATTTCTTTAATTTACTAAATCAATTGTTAATAAATAAATTTTTGAATATGAATAAAGAAAATTTTTTTTCAGGCTACTTTTTTTTGGATTTTATATTTTAATACCAATATAATTCTGATAATCAAGCAGATTTTTTACAAAATTATTAGTCTGTTTTTTTATAATTAAAAAATTCCAAAATGTATTTTTGCTTATAATAAAAGTGTCTTAATAATAATATATAAAGGGAACCAGTGTACCATCTGTGACAAAGGGTTTGAAAATAATTTAAACTCAGGAGTTGCTGAAAAGTCATTTTGCCACGATTTATTTATTGCTTAAATTGGCAAGAATTTGATATCTATTATTATTTTTTTAAAAAAAAATTTTCTTTGAAATACCACCAATTTCAGGAAAAAAAGTTATTCCAATACAATCAGAGATACAACAAAGATAGAATAGTTTTTTTTATGACTTTCTTTTTCTTAACTAGCTGATAACTATTGGTTTAAAGCTGGATGGACTTTAAGACTTTTTTCTACGTTGTCTTTCGGATTAAAACGTCCGTCATAACGACAGTTTAAGTGCCTTGGCTATTAAACCATTGTGGCCTTATTTATGATACTAGTACAATTTAAAAACGCTATTATTAAAAGTCAGTGGCAAATTTCTCAGCTTCTAAACTAAGCTCAGCGGCGCTACAGCCCATAGAGGGCCAAGGCCTACTGTGCCCATCTCAGTTTTCTTGACCTTGGGCTCTGAGGAGGCTTGCAGGAGCAGCCTTGGGCTTGCAGGAGCAGATGTTCCGGTCAGGTGGTCAACCGAACGCGGAACCCCCAGTGTTTAGTTCCCAAGCATGCTTGGTACTAATTTATCGACCCACTGAAGGGATGAAAGGCTGAGTCAACCTTGCCCGGCCCGAGGATCGAACCAGGGACCTGTGGCACGGCAGCGTGAAGCGCTACCACTCAGCCACCGGGCGTCTTTTTCAGCTTCTATATATTTTATTTCTTATAAATTTTGTTTCTTATCATTCAGCAATTTTTTTTTCATACATTATTTATCAATTTTCCTTTCTGATTTAAATTCGATTTTTCACAATTGACCAAAGACTAACTTTTAAAGTGAGTAATCAGTACATAAAATTTAGGAATTTGCTATTTCTTAATATTTTCTTTTTTGTTCAAATTTATCAGTTTCTATATTTGTATTTTAATTGGATTTTATCTAATTTTCATTTCTTATCCTTCAGCAACATTTTTCTTTTATACATGATCAAGAAGTTTTTTTTTTTCTGATTTAAATTTGATTTTTTTACAGTTGTCCAAAGATCAACTTTTAGAGTGAATTATCGATACGTAAAATTATGGAGGTCACTGTTTGCTAATTAAATTCTATTTTGTTCAATTAAGCTATAAAGTATGAACTAGTTTTCATTAATAGTTACTATATCCTGTTAGAATCACTGATTTTAAGTAATTGTTCTGGTGACTGGAGTTCTCACTGCAAATCAATACTTTAAATCATCTTGGTCTGATAACTACTAAGTATGAACTAGTTTTGATGAGCGATAAAGTATGAACTAGTTTTTATTAATAGTTACTATATTCTGTTAGAATTACTGATTGATAACTGGAGTTCTCACTGCAAATCAATACTTTAAATCATCTTGGTCTGATAGCTACTAAGTATGAACTAGTTTTGATGAGCGATCAATTATAAACTTGTTTTTATTAATAGTTACTATATTCTGTTAAAATTACTGATTTTAAGTAATTGTTCTGGTGACTGGAGTTCTCACTGCAAATCAATACTTTAAATCATCTTGGTCTGATGGCTACATGAACTAGTTTTGATGAGCGACAAAGTATAAACTTGTTTTCATTAATAGTTACTATATCCTGTTAAAATTACTGATTTTAAGTAATTGTTCTGGTGACTGGAGTTCTCACTGCAAATCAATACTTTAAATCATATTGATCTGATAGCTGCTATCCTGACTAGAAGGCTCGTGATTTTTCATATTAATTAAAAATTATTGTAGGACTGTAAGATATTATTAATAAATGAAAGAAAACGTATTTTTAAAATGTTGCTTATTTAGATTGATAGGGTAGGGAGGCATAATTCCTTAATATCCTATTTTACCCTAATACCCTATTTTTTGTAAATATCCTATTTTTTAAATAGCAGTATCTTTATTGATAATGCCTTTAATAATAATAAAAAAATAATAATAGTACATTTGCATTTAAGTTAAGTTAAGCAGGAAAGAATGAGACAAAAACAGAGCTTGATGTTGAAATATGTGAAATGTGATTTCGATAATTATATAAACAAAAAAATATAAATAATTATCTGTTTCATGTAATTGAGTAAATTAGAGTTTGTTGATTTTTTTTAATGTAAATGTAAATAATAAAAATTTTATGATTTTTTCTATGACATTTATTATAGTTATAAAAGGTCATTGATTCTTTTGATGCTAATGTGAGATTTTTTTAAGGCGCCATTTATTTGTCACATTTATAGTAATTATTTAAAGTTAGTGAGGCTGTATTACATTTTGCCTAATCTATTTTAAAACTATCATAAGCTGATTAACATATTTTTTCTAAATTTTAAGTGTTATAAGTTTTCATCAGAAACAAAATATTTTCTAGTTGATCTTAAGAAAGGAAATAAAGTTTTTATTTTTAATTGTAAATGATATTAATGCATGTCGTTTTGCACATTTTTAATTGAATTGCATATTAATGAAAAAAATTATTTTATTTACAGACAGAATATTAGTTAATTATTATGATTTATTTTTCTCAAGAATTACTTAAATTATGATATTCTCATTTTTAACTGCTATGTGATTTATATATATATTGTTAAAGAATATGAGCATTAGTACTTAATTTTCCATTCTGTGCCTTTCTTGTCATATTGATATTCAATTGCCTTCAGTTATGATTTGATAGTCATAGTATTCATTTTAATTTTACATCCACGTGTCTATTCTTAGGTTTTAGATTTAAAAGATATATTGGAAAACCTTGGTGAATTGGAATCTCAGCTCTGCAGCACAGCTGTTACCTTGATCGATATTTGCATTAGTTACCTTCAAATAAGTTTAAAAGTAAGTATCTAAAAATTTAAGCTTTTAAGAAGTAATTTAAGCTTTTAGCAACTCTTTGTGTAACAACCATTGTCAACTTGGAAGATTTAAATATTTCAAAATTTTTTGCTAAGTTTTTGAAGTATTTTTTGTACAGTAGGAAACTGATTATCCGGGACGATCGGGACCATCGCTATTCCGGATAACTGATTTTTCTGGTTTTCTGAATCGCTACAAAAAGCCATTTTTTTTATTGTTAAACCCAACTGAAAGAAAAAAATATTTGGAAATAATCTTTAAAAAAAGAAAAAATGAGGAAGTAATACACTAATGATTATTTCTAAAATGATAGTAAGATAAACAAATATCTTTCGGAAAAAAAAAAATCTTATAATCTTATGAGGACAAAAATTTTTTAAAAACAAATGGCAGGAAAATGTAATAAATTTCGTTCCGGTTTTTTGTTTTTCCGGTTTTTTGTTTTTCCGGTTTTCTTATTTTCCGGTTTTCTGATTTTCGGATAAGGGGTTCTGTACTGTAATTTGCTAATTGCATTTAAGATGTGGTTGCAAAGTGAACATTTATGACAAAATCTGTTTAAAGAAATATGAAGGTTTATGTTTTGAACCCTCCAAAATAGATGCCCATTATCAAGGCTCACCAGATGTGAATGTCACGAGACCATACACATTTGTCGAGTCTTGAGAATGGGCTCTATTTTGAGAGATCAAAATATATAAACTTCCATTTTCATATTTTTTTAAGCTAATGAAGTGTTTTTTAATATCAATTATATCTTTCCATGTGAGTGTCTTGGGATTATTTTTTCACATCTTGTCTGTTTCATCCTAGCTGTGCAAACTGTTCTTTCAGTAAATACTTTTGAGATATCTTGTGAGTAGTAAAAGTAAGACAACCATGCCTTATTTAGAAGCTTCACTATTATAATTGATAGGATTTACGTTGTTGAACTTGCATTTTGATATTTGGCTGTCGTAAAAATTTTAAAAAATGAGATTTGATGATGATATAAATTTCTATAACAGATGTTTAACATCAAAATTAAAAAAAAAGCTTAATATGTAGTTTTTATTGTAGAATCTGAAAAGAAGGAAAAAGATAAAATCTTAGTGCTGGGTTCCTACTTGTCTTAAAAAAGCAGCTTAAAGGTGTTTGATTTTGTTTACATAAAATAAGCTCTCTTAAGAGTGCATACTTTCAGTATGAGGTGCTTAAAAATGTTGATTTTTTGCTTCAAGCAGGAGTGATTGTATTCCGGGTTTTTCGTTTCTTTCTTCCTGGTCTAATAACAAGAAGTAAGGCTTTTAATTTTTCCGTAAATATTCATTGGTTCGTGGTCTTCCGCAAATCAATTACTTATAATCCAGACAAAATTTTGAAACTTTTGCCAAATCCTATTGACATAACGTTTACATACAGGTGATTCTTCTGCCAATTTGATTATTTTGATTTGGCGGTTTTTCACCATTTTGAATACTTCAGGGGTGATTGTGCTCCGGAAAAAATCCGGATTTCCGGAATTTTTGCTAACAGTGATCTGGAAGTTTCCGCAGATCGAAGGTCCAGGCGTTTTAAAATATCATTTATCACAGAAGTTTCCGGAAATCAAATTTTCGAAGGTGCAACTTAAAAACACAGTTTATTTTGTTTGTTTGTAAGGGAGAGCCAGAGAGATACTTTATAAGCTTATATTCATGATTAATATTCATTTTTTATCAGTAAATAGTTGTTATAATCATAAACTCAAGAAAGAAAGACATATTTGTAAATTTTAATTACTTCTCCAGGTCATCATAGCTATGTGTAAATGGTATAGGTATGTGTAAAATTTTAAATATATTTTAAGTAAACTAAGAAAAAACCTTGTTTAAATTTTTTTCAATTTAAACTGCTTTTTGTTTTTTTTTAACTCAAGAAATTTTCCGAAATTTTGACTTGGGCTCACAATCACCCCTGATACTTGGAAGTGTGCTGAAATCTGCAAATATTGTGATTCTTGTTCCTCCAATTTTAATTTTAAACATAAATTTTTGTATTTACTTTTTTTTTAAGGTTATGCATTGAAAGGTTTGATTATAAGGTTTGATTCGTATTCATGCAATTTAAAAACGTTCATCATGATTTCTATTCGTGCGATTTAAAAATCCATTAACACGATTTATATTTACTTGTTTTTAAAATCTAATATTGCAATTCGTTTTCACATGTTTTTAAAATCCAATATTACAATTCCTATTCTTGTTGCAATATCAATTATTATTTTTATTTATAAGCTGGTCATTAATAAAATCTTTCTTAGAATCTTTTTAAAATAATAATAGTTTCAATAAAATAACTAACTTTTATCTCTAAAATAAAATAAGTATAACATTTATGAGTGGTATAAAATTTATGTTGACCATATTCTTGTAGCTCTGATAAATCCTGAAAAAAATATCATTAATAATAATATTTTTATAGCTTAATAATCTTGTATCATTTATGACAGAAGCAATGATTGGTAAAATGTTACTAGATTTCCTCTACGAAAACGTTAAGTTAGGTATAAAAGTGCAATAGTTCCTGTATTTTTTTCTGTATAATCTTTAATCAGTGTTAGAAGTTATCAGTAATATCTCACTAAAATGGATAAATTTCCTTTTTTTCCCCCAGACAGATTATGACAGTCTTTTGGATTCTTTGAGGTCTTGCGGAGACAGACTAAAGGATATCACTTCTGTGAGTATTTTAAGCCAACTGTATGTATATTTATGGTATTTGAATTAGCGTTTAAATTTGTTGAAATATGTTATGCTACATAAATTAAAAAAAAATTTAAAAAATTGTCAGTCTTAAGTTTACTGTTTTATATTTTTACAAAAAAAAAAACAACTTAGTTTGCAAAATTTATTTTTACTGAATATTTTTTAAGTGTAAAGAAAATGATAATCTTCTATATCTATGTTTTTGTTTAAATAGTGTTCCACTTGTTTTCATAGTCAGAAAAACAATTGTTTTATTTTTGTAGCCTTTATCAATGGATAATTGTGAACATATGGCAAGGATATTCTCAGAACTTCAAATAGTTCAACCTGTAAGTAAAAATGTTTCTTATTTTTTATAACTAATAAGTTTGATTATAAAATTTGTTTTAAAATTTTTATTTATTTTTATTTATACGAATAAAGAGTACCTAACTTATTATACGGGATGTTCTCTCTGTTCCCTAAGCATACTTTTTTCAAATCCGTGAGAAAAAAATGAATAACCTGCTATAATATTTAATTGTGAAATTCAGAATCTAAAGAATAATATTTCTTTACGATAAATGTAAAAATTTTCGTCTTTTATTATTTTAACAAAAGTCCCCCAAAATCTATTCTATATTGCCTAAAAAATAACTTGTATTTGTCCTTTAGAAATGTTTAAAAAAGTTGGAAAAAAACCCCCCCCCCAATTAGATATAAAAAAATAAGTGTGCAGATTTATGCAGTAACATAACTGTTTCAAACACTGGCCTAGTTGTGCATGTATTCTTTGAGAACAAAACATTAATAGAGACGTGTTATTATTCTATTTTTTCATCATATCTACGAACAAGTTTTGTAAAATTTATTTGAAAGCAAAAGAATGTGATGTAGAAAAAAGTCCTGATTTTAAATTTGAAAAAAAAATTGGAAAATTATCAATCCTGTTAAAAATAGAAGTGAAAAATGTGTAGAACAGCTTTTAAATTTGACAGAAATTAAAGAGGTGCCAATCGTCGTGGAAAAAGAATGAAACAAACAAATACTTTAAGATGAACTAACAGAATTCTGTATAATGTTTTTTGGAAGAAGATACTAAAAAGAAACTTTAAAATCCATTAAGCATCAAGGCTTTTAGCTAGCAAGGGCAGTTTATTCCTCAAGAACAATATTGCTTAGATTGTAATTCATCCTGCTTGAGAAAACTTTATGGGATATTTCCTTGTTTATTGCAACATACAACTGTGTAGTGTATATGATACTGTGGCTTGCAAGGCAACTGCAAAAGCACCTAAATAAGATCTCCTAATTTTTTAATCTTTAAAATCCTACGAAAGAAGTTATGAAACTATTTCAGGAGCAGAATTGAAGAAATATTAGACATATATTATCATTTTTAAGTGAGCCATGGTCCCTTGCCCTCCACCGGGCTTATTTAGGATTCTCTGATGTTACTGATTTGTGGCTGGGTGGCGCAGTTGGTTTGTCGTCGGCCTTCTAAGCCCAAGTCTGCGGGTTCGATCCCCGGCCCAGACACCGGATTTTCAGGATGCAGAAAATCCTCATCGGCCATGTCGTATGATTATACGGCATGTATGATTATACGGCATGTACGGCATCCCTGGAGTGCCTTATTGGCTCTTGGCATTTCTGGCAAAATTAAATTCCTAGTGTACTTTAGCATCCAAATAGAGTCTCGGTGCTGCCATCTAGTGTGGCAGAAACTAGACGTCCAAATTAACATGACCAATGGTATCTCACCCATTGTGGTGGTCCTGAAAGAGTGGATACCACCTCTGGAGAACGCACTAGGTCTGCTCATCGGCAAGACCGATTGTGCAGCTCATTGGAAATAAAAAAAAATGTTACTGATTAAGTTTATTCAATGCAGTTTGAAATGGCCTCAGAAGAAAACGAGAAGATCGTTGTTCATCTGCTGCTGTTACCAAAAGTACAAACATGAATAAGTAAAAACCTAAAATAGCAATTGATAAAATTAAAAAGATACGGCAGATGAAAAGAGAGTCTGAGCAAAGAAGAGATAGAATTCAAGAAAATCCTGTATTATATTAAGAACATAAAAGGAAAAATAGATTAAGATATAAGGCAAGATCTGAATATGGAAAAACTTAGGAATATGGAGTTGAACCAAGTATACGTGTTTCATGTGTCAAATATCCCCTAGATGGCGCTAAAGAGTTTCTTGCATGAAATAGCATTGTGATTATGCTCTTGGACAGATATATCCCACTAGTATTCTTCATTGGCACAGATATATCCCACTTGTATTCTTCATTGGGACTGTTATGTCCCTTCATATTTTATTCGTATTTTCTCAAATGAACATGGAAAAAAGAACAAATATGAGTTGTTCAATGTGTAATGTCAGGTTATGCAAAGATTGCTTCACCCTGTATCATACCTTGTAAAAAAAAAGTCCACATAATAAATTTTACCGGAATGATAGATGTGCTTGTAGTAAGTCGATCACTACAGGTGAGATATATGTATCCCACCATTAAGTACGGCTGGGACATATATGTCCCAGCCTCTAAATCGATAACGGCCTGTCAGAAAAATTCCAAACAATACATTTGCATTATTTGTGATCTATTTTGTCCTTTTGAATAATAAACCGGACAATTAAAAAAAAATCATTATTTAAAATTCAAATTTAAAGGGTTAAGTTGGTTTTTCTTGATGTTTATTGTGCCAGAGTTCGAATTCAGTAACTTTTTCGAAGGTAATGCTAATGCATAGAGGAGCACTGTGATTTATAGTTCAGAGCACAGATTCCATACATTCTGTTTTAATCTTCATTGATAGTGAGGCTAGTCTTTGTGTTAAACGTTTCAGGAGCTTGAAATGCCTCTCACAGCTCTTTCTGACCTTCCAATGATAACTATATCATCAGCATAGGCCAGTAACTGAATTGAAGGAGCATTCCTTAGAATGGGTCACAGCAGATTTGCTGTTTTAAAGTTTTTTTAAAAATAAGTTCAAGTATCTTAAAATGATGTACTTAAATGAATTCCATTCTCTATGGTAATTTTAAGTTTCTTTTTCCAGTTTGATGTATTAGATAATTTGTGTTTATACTCTTTGAGAATACGGTGATCCTTTAGTTCATCAATATCTGATTTAAAATTGGTGTTTTCTTTCAGACAATATAATTTTTTACACAATCTAAGTCTAACTTTAGAGATAACGAAGTAATATAAATTATAAATATGGATCTCCTGTAAATTAATTATTTTTATTTAAGTGGATCCCACATAAATTACTATCTGCACAATAGATTTTTTTATGCATGATATATTAAATAAATAATATATTTAGATCCAAAATATGATCTTGCTTTGATCTATGTAAATATCTTCTTCCTAATAAACTGAAACTTAGAAAAGTTAGTAGATTAAATTCAATGGCTAAATCTATGAAATAAATATAGTTTATTAACTGGATTGTGTCTAAAACTATATTAACTTCCATTATTGAATATAGTTTTGCAATCTCCTTCTTCAATAATCATCACTTTAACAATTTCTATCATAGCATACATTTGCAATCTGTTGTTACTGTTGAAATACCACACAGTTCTGAACTATGTTTATTCAAGCATACAGCTTAAACAAGAATACTAAACTACTATATTTTAGTATTTGGTTTGGTAAATTCCTAGTTGATAAGAAGTTTAAGATAAATACATAAATTATGTGGTTTTTTATTATATACATGATTACTACATTATGTTATGACTCAATTACACATTTTTTTATATTCTTCGTTTTTGAGAAAATTTATAAGTTATAATTTAATTCTGAAGTTTATAATTATTTATTTTTCTTTTTATGTTATATTTGTTATATTTTTCTATTGCAAATTGTTATATATATTTATAAATATTTGCCCTTTGAGAATACATAATAAAAATCGAAATAAGCATTATATTTATTGAGTTTGGTTTGTGTTGTAATTTTGTTTTTCTTTGTTACCTACATAATTAAATCTTTTTTGTTTTTCTCAGATGCAAGGTTTAAAATATGAATTTTCTGATGAATATGACTATGAAAATATTGATCCAGTGTCACATATTTTAACACCTAATTTTGAATCGACTACAGTGGAGACGTCAATAAAACAAGAACTGGTAACACCAGAAAAACCTCTTCATTTACCTCAGTTTACCGAAAGCACTGGTAAAGGAGTTTCCACTCCCCCCTTGACTAATACATCCGTTAAAATCAGTCAGAATTTCGGTGAATTGAATATTTCAACTAAAATTACATATACTCCCAAATATGCTGATTGCCCATGCCATGAAAATGATTCAAAAGAAATGCATTCTAATGCTAGTTGTCCTATTATTAATTCTAGTTTGCATAATAACGTAAGCATTGATTTAGAAGATGTCACTAATAATTTAAATATTACTCATCATGTTGAGAAAATTGATAAAACTTGTATGAACACTTTTCGCATGCCTGAAACTTTTTTAAATGAAACACCTGTTAAAACTGTCTTGAAGAAAATTGATAATAATAGTCAGACATGTTCCACTTCTGCCTATTCCCAAATTACACCGAATTCTCAAGATATTATTCATAATGTTAATCACAAGGAAATGGTTAATAAGAGTTTGGCTGATAATGAATGTGTCAGATTTCCAGATATTAAAAGTGATGTTGATGAGGATTTTGTAAATGCAGTTTTTGAGCCTAAAAATGTTTTAAATGAAACACTTGTTAGACCTGTCTCAGATAAAATTAATAATAATAATGAGGCATATTCCACTTCTGCTAATACCTTGAATTCTCGAGAAATTATTCATCATGTTAACCATATTAATCACAAGAAAATTGTGAATAAGAGTTCTGCTGTTCAAGAAGGCGTTAGATCTTCTGAGATTAAAAATAATGTCAATGAGAGTTCTGTAAATACATTTTATGGACCTAAAAAAATTAAGAATGAAATGCCTGTAAGTACATTTTGTGGACATAAACAAATTGTGAATGAAACACCTGTTAGAGTTCGCTCAAGGAATACTACTACTAATAATAATCAGACATATTACACTGCTCCTTCTCCCTGTATTACACCAAATTCTCAAGACATCATACATAATGTTAGTAATATTAATCAGAAGAAAATTGTAAATATGAGTTCTGCTGCTCAAGAAAGTGTCAAATCTGAAATGAACAATGATGTTAATGAGACTTCTATAAATACACTTTGTGTGCCTAAAAAAACTGATTTAAGAACTTTTTTCTTTGCTAAAGACTCTGATGAAAAAATTTCTAGTCATCCAGTTTCTAGGAATGAAATTGTTAATAATAACCCTATTTGTTCTAATTCATTAACTGCTCGTGAAATTAGACGTGACGTTAATAAAAATCATTGTGAAAAAGTTGTAAATGAAAGTTCTTCTAAGCAACAATCTGTTGAACGTTTGGAAATTAAAAGTGCAGTTAATGGAGCTTATGCAAATGACTCAAGTGTGCCTGTAAAAATTTTAAAAAATAATTCAGAAGTGATTACAATTGATGATGACAGCCCCGATGATAGAAATCATCCAGTTCTTTTTAAAGATGTTGTTAACGATAATCCTGTTTGCTCTACTTCTTGTCACCCATATAAGGCAGTGAATGCTCATGAAATTCATAGTAATATAAATAAAATTCATCATAATAAAGTTATAAATAAAAGTTTTGCTAATCAAGAATATGCTAATCATTTGAAAAATAAAAGTAAAATTGATATGGTATCTGTAAATAACATTAGTGTGTCAGCAAAAAAATTTAAAACTGTTTCAGAAGTGGTTATAATTGATGATGATGACCCTGGTGTTAAAAGTTTAAGTAATCCGGTTTTTCCGAGGGAAATTGTCAATAATAATCCTGTATGTTCCACTACTGTTTTACCCAATCTTACAAGGACTGCTCAAGCATGTGTTGATGGGGCAAATGTGAGAACAAGTACTGTAAATGTAACTAAATCAAAAGAAATAATTGCCATTGATGATAGTGATGATGAAATTCAAATTTTAAATCACTCCGTGAAGCGTACAAAAATACACAATGTGTTTAGTAAGCGTACTAAATTGGATAAATCTTCTCACCTAGCTAAAAAACCTACGGAAACCTCTCATAAAAAATCATCCATCTGTCTAAAGAAGCCAACTGAGAGTTCTGGCATTCGAAGTTTATTCAATTTTCCTAATACTGCCTCTTCTAATTCATTACCAAGACCTCCTGAAGTTTTACCCATCTTAAGTGATGATGACTGCCAAATAATATCTGATGATGAGATTATCTGTTTAAATTGATTATCTTGTGAGAAAAAATGTTTTGTTTTTAGCAATATGGTTACTGTTTTGTTTTGTTTTAAGTTTATTTCATGTAGTTTGGGTAAAAGAAGTGCTTATTATTTTTGGTACCATGAAGTATCAAAAGTATACCTAAGTATCAAAATTATATTTTAAAACATAAGAATTGAAAAATTTGTTTTGTCTTTATAATGTTTTGTCTTTTTTTTAGAAACCTTATTTGTCTGTAACAAAAATTCATCATTTCATAATTAATCATTGGTAGCCACATGAATAAAATTTGCCATTTGCATATTGCAATAAATAACTATAAAAAAATGACCATTCTGTCAATAACTGTGCAAATAATGCCTGACAGATATGCATATATCTCTTCAGTTTTTGGTTTAATATATGCAGTAAAGTGTAAACAGCAAAATTTTATTGGTTTTATAATAATATTATTTTATTAATTAATTGATTTTGGCTTAATATTATTAAACCTTTCCAATGTCTTGGTATTTGTCATTGAAAAATATTAATTTAAAAAAAAAAATTTGAATAATGTTAAAAAAAAATTAACCATATTTTTTTAATTTCTTGAAAATGTCTTTGTGACACAAGAACACTCTTGGTTGCAATAGAATTAAATTCAAAATGGTTAAATATAAATCAAATAAGTTAATATTCCTGTCTTCAATTTTAAAATTATTATAATTTTAAAAGAGGATATTTTTTTTTTAATAAAAGGTACTTTCTTTTTTACTGCTTTAAAGAATAGAATGAGTAAAATATGCATATATTGGTCTGAAATTGTGACATCACATTATGATATATGTCTTCATTTGTTATGTGATAAATAGATTTATTAAGAATTTTTTTTTAAGGTAGAAATTTTTTGTTGTTGTTGTTGTGTCCAATCCTTCAGGATCTAGCGACAGCTAGATCAAATCCAAGAGACCGTGGACCCTAGCAAAATCAAGCACCAGAAGTCGGCTATCACGGATGTCCGCAAGACCGAGCCCCAAGCAGTCGAGGATATGATCGGAGGAGGCCGGCATCATATGGCACTTGGTGTACGTTGGAAAGACTTTGCGGCCGCATTCAAAGGTCATGCTTTAGCAATTTTCTCATCAGACAAAGCAATTGTTTTAAAGATAAAGATAATTAATAATTGATTATTGATAATGATAATTTGTCTTCAAAAAATAGATTTCCTAAAAATTAAAAAACTCAAATTTTCAATCAACTGAGAATTAGTGAATTTAAATTTAATTGAAAGAGGCTGTTAAAATATTTTCTGATGTTAAAATATTTTCAAAATTATGTTAAAATATTTGTTCTGATATTTTCAAAGCTATTGAGGTTACTATAAATTGCCAAGTGATCAAAGATGCCTCACTAAAGTACAGCAAAGTAATATACTTGGGGGAAAAAACTTCTGATGTTTAGTCACATTGTTTTAGTCAGTCTTGTTATTTCCATCCTAGATGGTTATTTTGATATAAGTCAGTCTGATATTGTAAGCAACTTGTTTAAGACCCTTAAAAACAGCTTACTTTTTGGGTCAGAAAATATGAATATATTTGATATTTTTGGTCTATCAATGTGTTGATTACTTACAAAGAATTCTTATTTTTGAATCTCAATTTGAAAAATCTATTTTATTTGTAATCGAACCCTGTTATAGTGAACTGTTTGGATCTAGTAATAAGTCCACTAACATATCCTAATTCTTTGAAAAATTATTTTTAGTATATAACAATAGTGTTGTTAGAAATAGTGATTACATTATTTGTATTATTTACTGATAAAATATATTATATAGCAAATAACATTCTATGGAAGTAATTAGTACGTTTCAAAAAAATACAATTAGATTTTAAGTAAGATTTTACCATTTTTCGTATCAACAATTAGTAAAGAATTCAGTATTTTCTAGTCCTCATATTCTCCTGGGGAAAAAAATCAGAACTTAAATACCAAGTTCACTTCTGAGGTAAAAGTTGTAGAAATTTCTTATCTTTCTTCAACATAGGGAAAGGATCATAAGAATAGGGATGTGCAACTTAACTATTTGTTTGCTTTAGTGCAAAAGCAGAGAGCATGCAAGAGTAAGATATGACATAATGTAATGAAATGTCGTCATTTGCAATAGCAACTCCTTCAAATTTAAATTGGAGAAATAAAAAATCTGAATAAATATAAGAGTCCACTATAAACTAACTACCAAATTTTCAGCTCTCCACGACAAGCATATAAAATAACATTAGTCAATTTGAGTTCAGAAGAGACCTCTGTAAAAGTTTGCAATAACCGAGTATTCGCTTTTTTTCTTTTCTTTTCTCCAAGCTTTGGACATGTGTCATTATGGACCCTTTACCATATAGCCCAAAGCTTGGCTACTGGTCCGGTTCCACACCACCCTAGGAACGAGTCCAGTCAGCAAGAATTTATTGATAATTTAGATATGTACAAAGTCACAATGTTTAAAAAAATAAAAAAAATTAAATATAGTACAAGTTAATAACACATAATAGCAAAAATAAAGAAAGAAGTATAGAAAGAAAAACAAAATTAACTTAAAGGCCGTAAACTGTTAGTTATTGCCTAAACTAAATAAACAATTTTGAAAAAGATTCCCCCTTCCTTTTTTTGCTTTTTTTTTTTATACAGAAACCGAGGCTGAAAACAACATCAAAAAAAGTTTAAGAGGTAATAAACACTTTCAAGACATACTTAAAAAGTCAGGTTTGATTAAAATTTTAATAAGGAGTCGTTTTCTGTTAGAAAGTTCATTACGTTAATTAATTTAGAGTTTAATGTTTTATTTGTAAAAAAGTTTTTGTGCCAAATATACAGGGTGATTCTAAAAAGATGGGCAAAATTTTAGGAAGTGATAGTACACACCCAAGCAAAGAATTTTTAACAAAGAATGCATGGTCGAAAGCAAAACTACTAGAGGGCGTCAAAGTTTATGTTCTTATATGAAGCAAAAACACACAAAGAACGATGAAGTTAAGTTATAAAAGCAAATTTAATGGCATGTGATTACAATAAGTGTTCAAAACAGTGGCCAGCAGCGGCTATGCACGCAGTACAACGACGAAGAAAAGATAGGCGAACATTCTGAAACACACCAGGCATATCACGAACTTTCTCTGCAGCGGTCGAAAGCTTGGCGACAAGTAACGCAGCGCAGTAACTCGCAACAGGAATGGAGCTTTCACGTTAGCATCAAACAACTTTCCAAATGTGCCAGCACCTTTGCGTTTTGTTTTCGACTATGCATTCTTTGATTAAAATTGTTTGCTTGGGTGTGTACTATCGCTTCCTAAAATTTTGCCCATCTTTTTAGAATCTCCCTGTATAAATTATTAATGTTTGGAAGGCGTGTATGCCATGATATTGTGTAAAGACAAGTTGATAAGTAATGCTCAGGTGTACCTGAATGACCACAGGTACAAAGGTTTTTATCCGACCGAGTATTCACTATATACCAGGTTTATTATAGCAGGGTTCGTCTATATTTATGTATGTTTATATGCATGATTCTACAAAATTGCTATATTTTTACGAGCCAACATGTTTTAGAATGGGAAGTAATGTAACAGCTTTTTATTTTTATGTTAAATGTTGCTAAAATATTAGGTGGTAGCTATAATTTCTTATGCAAAATACAGAGTGTTCTAGGTCTGTAGACCTCTCTCTATATATTACTAGCTTAGATTTTATTTTATGTATTCTTCCATGCTAGTCTCATAAATTTGTTCAAACTTTATATTGCTGTGTTATGTGCTTGAGATTTTTGTGTTCTGCAGATAAAGAAAAATTTAAATACATTTAAAGTATTTGTTTAAATAATAAACATATAAGTGCTAGTTTCTTATTCAAGATGTGACTCAGTATTATTTACAAAATATTAATGGAATATTATGAAAGCATTGAAGTAATTTTGCCATATTTTTTTCTTTAATGTACAATTGTTTAAAATTATTTTTTCCTGTTGAAATGCTATGGATGTTTTTTTCCCCTATAATATTTTTAATAGTTAATATTCTCTTCCTTTAATGATATCAATCTGAAGATATAAGTTGATACATATTAAAATCTTTTTTCCTATTCCATAATACTTTTTACTATGGTATCTTTACTATAGTTTTTTTTTCTATTCCTATACCATAATAATTTTGCTGAAATTAATTTTGTGTTTTAAATAACATAAATTTTTTTTAAATAACTAAAATGGAGAAAGAAGTTTAATAAAATAGGATCTAGTCATGTTAGTAAAACTTATATTTTTATTTTGTTATGGAAATTTTAAAATAAAATCTGATGAAGCCAACAGATTTCAGATAGAAAATTCTGGAAATGTTTAAATCTTAATCATGATAAACATTTACACCTGATTACAATCTATTATATTTATGTATCTATAATTCTAGTATGTATGAGATATATCTGTGAAATTGTTTTACTTTTGTTGTTTTATCAGAATCATTTGTGCATTGTATTTTTTTACTACAATCTAAAGACTGTTATAGGGCTCATTTGATACATGTATATAGCATAATTTTGTGAATACAAATCATTGTTCATTGTTTTTATTATATCAAGATTTTTAAATGTTGCAGAAATAAAGAATTTTTAAATTTGGAATCTATCTGGGCATAAAATGTTTTCAAAATATTACAACTTCAGGGCTGTCGAGCAAGTGATATCTTTTTTGAAGTAAACCTTTCAGTATGATATCTATATTTCAAGATAGTTAAAAAATTTAATTGAGGTGCAGCTATGTTTATTTCCAAGCATTTTTATGGCAACTAAATTTTGATTTGATGGTTCAATGAATAAGTTTTAGAAGTAATGTTTATATTAATGACAGTTTGGAAAAATCTCCATTAAACTTATTATTATTGGATCCTAGCATGTACAGTAATATTGTATGTTAAAATCAAAATTTTAGATTTGCTACAATAACTATTTTTTTTAAATTAATGATTGATTAAAGAGCTTTTGTAACCTAATGTTTAACTTCAGATAATTTTTTTTATAGAAACACAATTTATGATCTGTTATTGTTAAGTTATTTCTCATAAAGCAGTCATTTATAGAAGTGATTTATTTTTCTTCAGAAAATCGGTATCTTTTTAAATGAATTAAGATCTATCCAAATTGTTTTTAGGTTGCATTGTAAATTCTGGATATTTTAAAAACCAGTTTCAATATACTCCGTATGAATTCAAAGTTTTATGTTTTTACTATTAGGAAACAGATTTTACGTCTGAGCGGCAAAGTTTTTATATCACGCATCCATATATTCTTAGTTCTAAAATAGGTACAAGAATGTGACTTCAATTAAATTCGAGCCAGCCTGAGAACAATAGGATGATTTGGTGCTCAAGCCCACCAGAGTCCGAGATATAATATGTCAAATAAAGGCTTAAAATTTGTGAAAAGGCTAAATAAAATATATTATTCAGATTATTCTTTTACCGATCAAGTGATACACAAAAATTAAGCGCAAAATTATATTTATAGTTTAAAATCAATTAGAATGTAATGTATGATATATTGTATATTATGTATATACAGTCAAACCCCGCTATAGTGAACACTGCTTATAGTGAACTCTCGGATATAGTGAACGAAATGCTCGGTCCCGTGCCTTGCTATACTCGTATAATGTTATTTTTAGTGGATATAGTGAACCAAAAAAGTGAGGAAGTTGGATATAATGAACTTTTTTCTGTCTTCGACTGATTCCCCTCCCCCATTTTCTTTGTAATAATTTTGAAATTTGTACTTCAAAATAAATACATATGCCGATTTTTAAAATCATCTATAGAAACTACTTTTATATGCTCGAATGGCAGGTTAGACATGTTTAAAAAACGGAATAGCAGAAATTCAGGAAAAATTATCTGAGAGTCGGGAAGTGTTTCCATATCTGATGTTGAGAATTGCTCATCAGCTAAAGATTACTAATTTTTATTTGTACGCAACACGAAGAGTGATGAAAAATAACACATTTTTTGCTACTTCATAATATTTTTCACTCATTTGTATGAATATAATGTAATAAAAGGGAGGAGTTTGGGAACCATTAGTTAAATTGCCTGCGCAACGGATATAGTGAACTCCCGGTTATAGTGAACCGAAATTTCGGTCCGTTGAAGGTTCGCTATACTATATACTTTTACTGTATTATATTTGAGAGTTTAATTTTGAGTCTGAAGACTTTGCTTTTGTGCACATGTTGGGTTCTGACTTTCGTGTTTGGCTTGTGATCTCTATTTAAATGGAGTTGGGTACTGATTCAAATCACCCATCCGAATTAGTAATTCTAAACCCTTAATTGAACCGATTCTATTGATTCAAATCACCTAGATTACTTGTTTTGCCAACTCTAGGTTTTCATAATTCCACATAGAAAAAAAGTAAATAAACATTTTGCACAACTTAGCAACTTTTATTTTCCTTCTCTGTGCCATATACAGTAAATTTATATAAAGACTGCAATAACAGTAGCAGATTGTAACACTGAGAACAATCTTCAATGGTATTTTTTTCCATTACAACAACTGTTAACTGCAAAAAAATGTGCATTGTATATGGTACATAAATTTGTAAAATTTTTCGATAAAACGAATAAATTGCATGTTGATTATTTAAAAGGTAAATAAGTTACAAAATATAAAAGAAATATTTTGATAAAATTTCCATGTTAACCCTGAACAGTTTTATTTGTATGTACTATGTATAAAATTTTTTTTTCATTTTTAAAAACAATTTTGCATTTTTCAAGATATTAATGCTATGTGCTCTTTAACAATTATAGGACACGAACATTTTTTCAAGTTTTCTTAAAACGTTTGAGTTATAAACTTTAATAATGGGCATAAACATATAAAAAATAAATCTAAAAATTCCTAATATTAGCAAAAAGAGCAGGCAACTTACTAAGGAAATTTATGACTAAAATGTCTTAAAAGTATAAAATAGTTTATTAGTAATACAAGGCAATATACAAGATTTCGAAATAAACTATTATTAGCTAGAATATTTTAAAATTCAATCTTATAATAAGCATATAATATGGCGAGAAAAAGTTAGATTTTTTTCTCTGTTCTATTAGCTTGTGTATAAATTTTGACTCCTGTTTTAGTTTTTTCTTATCTGAAAACATTGTATCAAACAACTGCTTATTTCGTTTAATGTATTTATTTTTTAAGTTTTTTGATTTTGTAAAAATTAGCGATTCCTCCTCCTATCAATACAAGCATTTTGTTTGATTTGGAAAAATAATTACGTAAAACAAAAATAATTTAAAAAATAATTCTTTTTAATTATATAATTAGCAATTTTAAAACTTAACAACTTAACCCTTCCATTCAATTCTTCCTCAAAGAATTTTTTTTAAATAGTACTGTGGTAATAGGTAAAAGTATTAAAATTATTAACTCTAAAGGCTTCAGGGCTAACATGGTTTTGGTGATTAACATCATATAGGTGCTTAGCTTTTAACAATGTATATTGTATTGCTTCACAGTTAAATCACATGTTAATGTTGCTGTACACATATTTTCTTTTATCATAGTGTGCATTCTTAGTATCTAGAAATGCTTAAATATAAGAATAGGCTACATCTTTAACAGCAGGGTATACAGAATACTGGAAGTCTGGAAATAAATTCACTACTTTAAAAATATACTTGAAGCATTTCTTTTTAACAAATATCACTTTCTAACCAGATATTACTAGCCAGTTCAGTTTTGCATAGCTAAAATGAGTAATAAAACAGTACCTTGAACTGGGAAAGATATCTGTACCCGAAAGAGCAGAAGCTTTGCTATTAAGCCTGCTTTAGCTTTAGATCATAATTGCATAATTACTTCAACACACACAGTACATTCAGTGAAACAATTAAAATTTATGAAATAGTTTGTCTTTAAACGAGATGGTCAAAGTTTTTCTAGTTTCAACTTTTAAATCTTTTCTATATCACCCAAATCTAGCATCTGATTAATTATGATACAGCAGTTGTAATCCTTAAACAAGCAACATTGATTTAAAATCTCAAATTACCAATAAAAAGCGTTAAATGTGAAGAATACATAAAAGTGAGATATAATATTAGGAAAAAAATATTCAGTTATTGCAGAATATTTAAAAGAAAAAAAAAATTATACATTTATACAGTAGTAACATTTCTGTTATTACAATTTGTAAATTTTATAGTCTAAAATATTAATTTTTGATTTCAGAAGAATTTTAAAGATCAACGCATTATAAAATTTTTATTTTCCAAAAATAACTTGTGATTTTCGAATTAAGGCAATGCGTAAATAAAAAGAAATTGCTAACAATATCTGAAAGTGAATTCCTGCAAAATTTCATGTATTGAATTTAAGTTATTTATTGCTTTAGGGTAATACATTTCATTTCTTATTTATCATTTTCAATGGGTAGATATTTTTGAAAACTAAATGTTAATTATTCTAAACGCTATTTTTGGCTTAAAAATTCATAGTCTCCATCCTTCAACAGCTGAATTAAATAATTGAAATGGAAAGAGGTAATTAATTTACTCAAGGCTAAAGCGTAATTTCACAATTCCTTTTTTTTCATTCTTTTTTTATTTATATTTGAAAATTCTTGAGAATGCTATTTTTTAACGCAATCATGTATGTGACAAACATTAAACATTTATATAATGAAACTAAAATATTTTTTTTCCAAATTTTAAATATACTTCAGTACCTTTTTATTTACATAAACTTTTAATTTCATAAAAAAGAATGTCATTTGAAAGTTATATTTTGGAAATCCAACTTTTGTTTCCTTTCACTACTTGTTTCATCAGTAATATGAATAAAATCGTATATAAAGATTTTTGAGAAATCTTCAGCCTTTTTACAATTCAATAATAAATAGAAAATTCATCAATTAGTATTATAAAGCTGTTTAATTAACGTAGTTTCAAATTAAGTGCATAAAATGAAGCAAGACAAAAATAATTAAAGAAAGAACTTATTGATTGTTTAAATACTGTGAGTCAATATTTAGAATCTTAAGTAAATGTATATGTAAATTTGTTTTTCTTATGCAGGATAAATAATCATATCAAAAATGGTGTGTAAAAAATGTTAAAGTTTAATAAAATGTTAATTACAAAAATCATTAAAAGTTAAACTTTAATTATTATTTAGAAAGTAATAAAATCCAATAAATTTTCTTTAAATATATATCAAAACTTTAAAACGTATAACACACATTAGTCAATGCATTTTGTGACAGAAAAATCTATAGTAAAAGTGTTATTAATCAAATTGCATAAATATTTTTTTCCAAATTCAAGTACAATAACTAAAATACCATTAATTATTTATATCTTTAAAGAAGAATTAATAATTATTGTTAAGTTCATAATTGTTAGCATATATAAATTGAAGTTTATATCTCTGCACTTTATGCAGCTAAATTTTCATTACTGTGCTTTTCTCATGAGCTGTAAAAATATTCTATTTTTACAGTTCATAAAATAAGACCACATAGATGATTCAAACAAAATTAATCTTGTAAAGAAAATTTAAGACATCTTTAAAATGAACAAAAGAGCCTAAGGATTTTGTATCACTGAATGACACAATAGAGTTGATTCCTTTCTGTAAAATTGTTAGCTGCACATAGTTAGAAATATTACAAGTGCTAAATCTGCCACCTGAAATCTACGCTACATATCTCCATTAAAGTCATCTCTTACTACACAAATACGATGAGGGACACTGACTACATTAAAAATTTAGAAATATGTGGCTTCGTTTATGATTACACAAGCAAATAATGAAACACATGAATTTCTCTAAAATATACAATGAACTCTATTGCAATGAATTAAAGTAGCTCTGATGTATTGAGTTAAGGTGTTTTGCATTGGAAAAGCACTTGGGATAATAGAATGCAAAAGCTTTCTGTACATATAAGTTTAAACTTTTACATAAATTTAATAAACTCATTTGTACAGATAAAATACAGCAGGTGTCAACATTAATCAAAATTATGCTTTGCACTGACAAATACTTCAAAAGCAAGGGCATAACATTTTCTTTTTCATTAAATCAAGTGCAAGTATTTAATATACAGTAAAAAAGTTACATACTAAGACGCGCACAAATTATATGAACTCACATAACATTTTTAACTTCGAAAAAAAAGACAGCAGAAAATGTGCTAAGAGTAAATGTCGTGTATAACATTTAAAAATAAAAACTTAAAACGTTTTCATTAACAATATATTTTTTTTTCATAAAGGGAAAAATATAAGAGGTCCCTTTACAATTCACGAATGTACAAACCACTAACTTCAAATAAAGGGTATAAGCTAATTCTATATTAGCTAGTGGCATGTACACACATATTTTTTCCGAACCTCTCTTTATTATTCTATGTATATATGTACAACTGTATGACCCAAATGAATTGGATCCCAAGACTTACCTAGAACGGGTTTAGCTTAACAATCAATTAGAGACAGCGTGCCCGAAAAGGAAACCTTTTAATAGAGATATAACGCTGCCTACTTATTCAAAAAGCTTCCTGGTGAAACATTTTTTTTTTCCAGTTTAATTGCAATCATGTACACAAAAGAAAGTTTTTGTCGCCCTCTGTACAGAGGGGGTTGACACAATGTCCACTCTTTACGAATTTCACTTTTGCGGGATGGTGAGGGAAAGTCGTCTTGGCCGGGGCATGTCGTACTCCTCCATGGAAAGAGTGCGCCGTCGACCAATGGCTCCCAGAGACTTTGGATCACCCCCTGAGAATGTCCTCTGTCGCTCAACTCCTGGCATTGTTACCGATGTCACTAGAAATGATAATTAAACGAATTTTGAATAAAATACTCAACTACAGTGATGTAGAACAGAAAAACAAATTTTATGAAAGTTAGCATTTTAGGGAATTAAGATTTAGGTGGGCCCAAGGCCTGATTATAGCCTAGGCTCAATAGGCATGGGACTAGGGCCCACAATTTCTGAGGGGCCTCAAAAATTAGTAAAAAGTCTGATCAACGGTGGGCTAGCTATGTGTTGGTTTAAGTACTAAATAAAAAATAATTCAGCTGATCGGTGACTTTTAGCAAAAATCACTGATTTCAAATGTTTGTGGTCACCAAACTATTTTTATTTTGACATAACATTGCTTTGTTGTTTCATATTTTACTTTAATTTATACATACGTAAACTTTATCTTAGAAAAATAATCTTCAATTGTTTGCTTTCAAAATTTCTTAGAGTGTTTCTCTTGAATCATGCAGTTCAATTGATTCTTTTTCATTATTAGGACTACTCTTCAGTAATTTAATTTCAAAACATTTCGTAAGGGGCCCAGATAATTTGGCGGGCCTTGGGGCTTAATTTGTCCTTAATTGTAATCGGTCCCTGGGTGGGCCATGGTAGCCCTGTGGTTAGATAATTGAATTCCGAATCGGAGGGCCTGGTGTTCGATCCTCGACTTCCCACAAAGTACATGCAATAAGTATACTCCTGAAATTTATGGAATTAAAAGTCCTCCGGTTGGTCGCTGCGTAGTACCATGGGTACAGGGATCTGTATAAAATTTCCCTCCTTACTTCGATGATGAAATATTCTGATTAAAAATCTCGATGGATCTGTGGATGGTTGGGATCGCCTAAAATTTGAGTATGAAGGAGTGCTTATGCTTATTATCCTAATCAAAAATTTTAATAGATCCGGCAAATTTGTTTTATTTTGGTGTTATGGATGTTACCCTGTCTTCTAAAATACGTCTTTTTGAATTATGACTTTCAAGTCGACTTAAAATGAAATAGATATAATCAACTGGAAACACATGCCACCGATTCTTAGTAATGTATACAAAAAGGAATTTAAAGCATTTTGCATAGAAACTTATACAAAAATTTACTTACAATATCCAAGTCCTTTAACAAACAGCAGTAAGCTTTGGGATAATTTTTCGGGCTGAAAGAGAAAGAGAAAATAATCACTTTTTATTCGGTAAAAGCTATTTTATTTTAGACCTTTATACAGTATTGATGATCAACACAAATATTTACATTAATCACAGCTCGTTAAAAAAATACTAAAACGATTCCAAAAATTGAAGAAGAAAGAAATTAAGTATACACGTATTTCAAATTTAAATTTTTATTTTATTTATTTTAGAAAAATTTAATTGCTGTTCAAAATTTGTAAGTCTTAGAAGCTTGAAATTACGAAAGTATGTAAAAAAATTTAAAAGGAGTTTGACGGAATAAAAAAAAAATTACGATTCGATTAATCGAAAATTATTAGCTGTTAAATTTGTAGTAAAGAAAAACATGTTAGTCGATTTACAACTGTCCTCTGAAATGTAAGTAGTTTTTTAGTTAGAGTAGTTTTGCGTTTGAGTAGATGTCAGTCAAAAATAGAGAGAGATTCTAGATAAAAATCTTAACATTCTCAGTGGTGGACGGATCATAGGTTAGAGTCCCAATTTTGTCATGCTGAACATGGGACGCTTTCGTGGTTTTCCTCTCCATGTAACGCAAATGCAGGTTAGTTCCATCTTCCACAGAGGCAAATTTCTCTCAATAATTGATCCAGAAGTTCCCTTGTCTTCTGGATTGGGTATTAAATTACAAGATTACTGAGTTGAACATTGGTAATCGTAAACCCATAAATGCGTCGGCTGTTCAACGACGGTTATAAATTACCCGATTATAAGCCGCCGTGGCTCAGGGAATAGAGCGTTCGCTTCCCAATAAGGTGGTCCAGGTTCGAACCCCACTTATGACTGGTTTATACGAATTCTGCTCCCGACGCGCAGTAACCACGATGTTGACGTAAAGTATCCTCAGTGATAGATGGATCACGAGTTAAAATCCCCTTGCCGTCTGGCCAACCTTGGGAGAAAGTCGTGGTTTTCCTCTCTATATAGCGCAAATGCGCTTTAATTCCATCTAAAAGTCCACCACGAAAGCTAGTTTGTTCCAATGTCTGATCTAGGAGTTGCCTCATCTTTTGGATTGGACTCAAAATTATACAAGGCTGTGGAGTTGAACATTGATTGTCGTAAACTCAGAATTCAAGGCCAGTTATAAAATAAAGTAGATTAGTGATAAAATAAAATAAACAGATTATTTATGCTCCTATTTGTGACTGTGGTATGTAAGAGGAAAAATAGAATAGTTACTGCTTGTGCAAAGACGTCTCCTACGCTATCCAGTTTCAGGAATGAAGTCTTTTGTTTATCCATACGACCATAAAGACTCTGGACGGCCTGTAGATGTGCAGCTCTTCCACCACTCACCAACAGCACATCCATGGTTCTATTAGAAGAGATAACATAGTGAATGCTTCGACAAAATTTTAAGATTTGATTATTTTTAGAATTTACAAAATAACTAGTATTATTGTAGAATTCACTATACAATTGGATACCTGCATGCGACATAATCGCGGGTTAATTGTGGCATTCGTTTATGACTCTATTCGAAAGCCAATCAGGTTCGAGACACACACGTGAACGCTTACTGGTATTCAATTTAATCTGGTCCGAAAATTGATTACTAAGCCTAATTGCTATAATGTTAATCCCCAATCACAACCACGTGATTAGGTCCAAGCATGTAATTTAAATACCACATGGGTGATCATAATTACGTATTTTTCTTCTCGAGTTGCAAGTACCCAATTATTATAGTAGAATTTATTATCTTTATAAACCTGTTATTCAAACTATCAACTTATCTTAATTACGCTCAAAAACTTTCACCTGAAATAATCATTTAAATGAAATAAATCGTTTGCTTTTATCAATCTAATTTAAGATCAAATTATTATTGTAGAATTTATTATAGAATTTTTGAGATTTATTATGGATTTTTTTAATATTTTTTTAGAATTAATTATTTTTTTACACAAATTATTCAAACAATCAATTTATCTTAATTTCTTCCCTAAAATATCATCTGAAATATTTAGTAAAATAAAATTAATTTTGAGCTTTTATCTATTTAGTTTATTATAGAATCGCTATTGTAGAATTTTTTGTGTATTGAAAATTAGCCTTGATGTTTTGTGCTAGATATATGTTTAAATAATCTCACAAATTTTGACCAACTTATAATCTACAGTTGTTCAAAAATAATTACGGACCCAAAACATCGTCTTATTTGGTATTGTTTCTTATAAAATTAACATTTTATGGTTATAAAACAATACAACATTTTGAGGAAATAATTTTATAAATTATGAATTTTTAGAATTAATCCATTTTTATTTCGATTTTACTTGCCGCTTTTTCTTTAAAAAGTTTTATTACAGGTATAAGTGAGAACTTATATAAATGCGACAAAAAATCGTTATAATTTTTAAAAAAAATATGCATAAAAATGAAATTGTGAGATTTCTTTATATTTAGAATCTTGTTATAATTCAGAAGATTGTATATTAGAACTTGAAAAAAGATATTTCACGCAGTGAATTTTATTTTCCTTTTTTAAGAGAATATTAAGCACACAAAAATTCATTAGGTTTAAATTTCTTTCTTTATAGCTCTAGTTAGAAGCTAGTATCAAATTGGTGATAGAGCATAACTTAAACTAATCACATCGAAAAATGCATTTACTTATAAAAGCAAAACAGCAATTTCAAATTATATTGTATAAAAAGCATATTTTTATATAATATTTAAATATTATTTTATTAATATAATAAACTATACTCAGTACTTACTTAAGATTAGTTTCTATGGCACTTGTAATATCTTTTCGGCTGAAATAAAAATTGTAATTGTTACTACACAGAAATATAATTAATTTAAAGCAAAAGTTTATATAATATTAGATTTTTTAAATTTTGTCTCTGTATTCAGAGGTAATAGGTTTAAATGACATTTATTTACAGGGAATATGCTGGGAATTTAAATACTCCATTAGTCAGGAAAAATTAATTCGAGTTGGAGGTTTTACATCATTTTAAAGAACGTAACTTTAAATGGCAAAATACAAAATTTGAGCGAAATCGATCGAATAGTTTCTGAGAAATAAAATTTTGAAAAGTATCTTTGGAATTCAATTTTTAAGAATATGTTTAAGAATAAGGCATAGTTGAAATATATTGATAATATAAAATTAATTTCATTGATTGCAAAAATTAGGGAAATTCGTCAAAGATGGGAGAAATTTGATAAAAAATCACTGAATTTTTTTTCTTAGTGCTTGTGGCCCTTCTGAAAACGCATTTTGGCTTAAAATTATCTTTTTAACTTTGCTTGCAATAAGAGATGAAATAAATGAGATAGCTAAATTCTATTTATTGGCGTGTCAGTGTTTCAACATTTAGCATGAACAATTAATTAAACATTTTTCCCAGAAGCACTCCAACATATTCTAAGGGACTACTTGTACGTTCAACTAAGCTTTACTGTGCTAGGCAGGACATTGGCCCGTGACGCAAGAGCCTACTTAAGTGCTCACAAGCATAAACTAATACCATAAAACCTTGAGAAAAAATTTCCATGCCAAAAGATTCCGGATAGTTAGACCTAAAATTCAAACATGCTTTAGCTCCATTTTCCCTTAACAAAAAGGAGCGTTCGCTCGAGACTATTGCAAGTAACACAATTTATGCACACCAGAGTTTGAAAAATGATTTTAAATCACCCTGAGATTTGTTTTTTATATTCAAAAATTATTTAGATTTCTTAATTTATTATTTTTTTAAACTTACTTCATGTAAGATTCAACATATCGACGCAAATTCTTGGCATTAATTTTATTTTTTAACTTTTCTGTGTAATCTTGGATCAAAGTTTCTTTGTTTTCCACACTTTCCAGTTGCTGGAAAAGAAATTATTTGACTGTTTAAAAAAAGGAAGAAAAATGAAAAAAAGTGCTACGAAATACAAAATGTAGTGCTTATACGTTTTAAAATAAAATTTCAAAACAAAAACTATCTAGTAAAAGAAAAAAAGATTGCTGAAAAAAAAGTAAGTTTTATATTGTGCTAGATATCTTACTAGATAGTTTTTCTATGATTTCTGTTTATTTAAGATTCAATCAGAAAATTTTCACTTATTTCTAGTGAAGTTGAAATTTATTTTAACCTCCAAATATATTACGCACAGCATTAAAAAAAAATCTACATTTTTTTAATACTTATTTTTTATAGATAGTTTAAAATTTACTTGCTGGATCAAAAAGTTACATAATTTAATACATTGTATATTTAGAAAAAAATCATTTCATGAAAACAAAGTTAGCATTTAATCGAAAATTACTAAATATTATTAACTACTTTTTAATAATAATTATTTAACGCTGACACATATTTTTTTTTTTAAAAGAAAACTACGGAAAAGATTTTATCCTTTTTTTCTAATTAATGTTATCCTAGAACAATGAGCTAGGACTATGAGTAAATTAACATAGAACTATGAGTAAATTAATAACTGATAGTTTGACCTTGTTAACATCAAATATATTTAAGAATTTATCAGCTTTTTGATTAGCATAATAAGAATTGTTAAAAAGATTTTAAAAAAAGGAATAAAAAACTATGCTTTGATAACTTTAAAAAATTATGCAAGGAAATTAAAGAAGACCATTATTCAGGGTTAATAAACCTAAAGTACAAACTTAAATTATGTAATAAACCACATTACCATTTAAGTTCTAAATTATATGAATTAATATTGTTTTGAACATAATATACCATTTTTTACTAAGAATACCTAACACCAATAAATTGAGAGCTTTTGATATAAATGGTTTTAAAAAAATGAAGTTTTTTTCATCCTAAAATTAAAAACATGCTTACATCAATATCATCATCATCGTTATTTAAATGCAATTTTAATGCTATTTAAAATCTGTTAGGATTTTATAACATAAAGATTTAAATATACATTTTCAAACATTCCTATTTAATATTAATTACAATAATGCATGCAAATCAACAAATTCTCAATATCTACTAAGTAATAAAATAGCATACGCAAGAAACAATGTTAAAAAAGTGCTTAAATAAATTGACATTCACAGAGCACAATTTTATTACGAAATAAAAATATTAGTGTATTAGTTATTTATTTACATACAGTATCGATCAACGGTTCCCAATTTTTTAAGACTACGGAACCCTAAATGATCGAGCATCTTTTGATGGAACCCCAAATAAACATATAAAATTCATTAACCACTAACAGCCATGCGTTTCGACTAAAAAAAAAAGGCTTATTATTTTGATAACATTGAATGTGAAGAATGAAATTTTTTTCAATTATTGTTTTATCAACGAAACTCTAAAAATAAGTTATGTCAAACCGTTAAATTTGCAGGCCTGTAATAGTATCTAGTTTAGTTCTGAATTCGTTTCTAGTGATTACATTAGTTTAAAATGAATAAAATAAGCTGAATTATAGTTTCGAAAAACAACTCTTTTAAACTTTGAGAATAGTTATGAAAAACTTAATTCGTTATTCTTGAATTTGATATCAACGAAATTATAATTTATTGTTTTGTTATAAATATAATTGCAAGTTTCAAAAACAATTACTGATTTAATAAATTTAAACTCTTGGAACTTCAGTGACCCTCTCACGGAACCACAGGGTTCCGCAGAACACCGTTTGGGAACCGCTGTTATAGATCATCAGAATGACAACCGATTTGCATTATTTTAAAGAGTGAAATATTATGCGTAATTGTGAGCATGCAAGTATGTAAACAATAAAATGGTGCGGATTGGTTAAATTTCTCCTATATATATCTATATATATAGTTAAATAAGCTTATGTATTTCAGAACAAATGGCTTTCATCTTTTATACAAGGAACTCAAATCAGATTTGAAAAATATTTTGGCTCGTTTGTTTCTTGCATTGTATGTTATTCACTGCTGCTCATGATTAGATAGATCCTGGTGATAGAAACTCAAAGGATAGATCTTGAGTCAAAATTCCATTGTTTTGTTGAGCTACTCCTATTTCCGCAACAGCTTGCTGTGAGTCAAGGAGGGGGAGGGGGAGGTATGAGTAATGGAGGTATGAGCCTTCATAATTTTGAAGCCAACAGCATCATTGTAGTAATGCAGTCAGCATTACGCACAGACAGCCTATATTTCCCCGACAAGCTGGTACCTATCGACCTATGCTTTAAGACATTACATAGGATTGAATCCTAATCCTTGAAAGATTTATGTCATCAGTCTCACTTGCAGATATGCGTATAAAATTTCTTTGGAAAAATTGGTAATATGTTGTAATGTACTTGAACAGTTTGTTAAATAACTTTATTTTTAATCCTATATTAAAAATAATAATTTACAGATTCAAATTGCTGTAATTCATGAGCCAATAGAAGTTTTTCTCAGTGTTCTCTTTTTCATATTATTTCTATTTATTCTTCAAATAAGTCACTTGGTTACTAAGTTATCGCTTTTGTGCCAGTTTTTTCACCAGTTTAAAACTGCAATGATATTCCCCAGATGAGTAGACAAATATGTGGATGAAGTACGTCAATTCATAAAATAAAGTAAGATTGGGAGGTGAAGATATTTTCATTGAAATCGGTAAGGCGCCTTAATTTCTTAAACGGAATTTGTTTATCAAAATGAGGAAAAGTTGAAAAAAAATATGTATTCGCTTGTTAAGGGTTGAAGTTTTATCTTTCGTATTTCTCTTATTCTCTTATTTTTATTTTTGGGTATCGCCAAAAAAATTAAATTGAAAATAGCCAAAAATTTGGCGATTATTTTTGGGAAGATATCAATACGGAAACCTTACGAAATAAAATATGTTTCAGTTACGTGGTATTAAGACACATCACTTAACACATTAAGAGCCAACATTCCCAGTAATATTTTTCTTAAAGATAGACAGGTAACTAAATTGTATCTGTAAGGTAAATTTCAAGAATGAAACAAGACATTCGTATGTGTTTACCATAATAAATTAACATAAATTTCGATATTTTAAATTAAAATTAGGTGACTGTAATATTTTAATATTAAAGTGGTAACTAACAATCGAAAATTTCAACTTAAAGTAAAATGCTCTGCCACTTATTTAATAAAGTTACTTTGCATCACTGTAAAATATTGTGTTTTTGTAACACCAGTCTAAAATAGTTTTTGCATTTGATTTTACCCCTTTTATATTTTTGCTACAGAATATTCAATTTTTCTTTTTTGAATTTTTTTAAATGCAAACTTTGATGTCTTATAATTTGCTTTGACTTCTAAAATATTTCAAACTCACGAAAACTAATGACAGATACAGATGAAATTTATAAATTATACAGTTTATTTCTTGTTATTTTAAAAGATAAAAAATTTTTAGGAGTAAAAACCTACAATAAATGCATGAATACTCAAAATTTATTTAAATATAATCAAATGTTAGGCAATATAAAATCAAGCGTGAAAATATTTTTGTTCTACAAAAATGGAATGTTATATGTTTGAAAATTTATTAAACTAAAAATTGGTTAAGCTTTAAAGATATATTTTTGCTGCATCAAAATTAGTAGGCTTCTGTAATTTTCGTTTTAATAATCACTAGGCTTCAACTATGTAACATTCCTCAATCGCATAAATTACAAAACATAAAATACAACTTTCTATTCGTTTTTACTTATTTACAACAATAATTAGATACCGTCAAGTGACGTCACCATAAGTAAATCGTGTCATTTATCAATTCAGAAGCCAATCAAGTTCGACACACACTAGTGACGTTGCTTGCAGGTATCCAATGAAATCTGATTTAAATCACATGGTTAGGCATAACCACTTCACTTCTTCTCGAGTTGCAAGTATCCAATATCAGAATGAGAATTGTTAAAGTGCAATTCATTCTAATTTACAATATATATTTGTGCAGTGGAGATGCAGATTTCGGGTGAAAAACAGAACGAAACCATGCAAGCACTAAAAAATAACTCTAATAAATTTAAATGCATGCAGTTGCGAAATAATCTTTACCTCCTGATTGTTTTCACAAGTCACGACAGATGTTGAGAAGCCGCAATACAGAAGAGGGAATGATTTTAAAAAGAACAGAACCAACAGTAAAAGATAAGTTACAGGCCCAAGTACTTACATAAAGGCAACATTTATAAAGTTTCCAGGGTAATATGGGAACAACACGTAAATATCAAATGAATATTAAATACACAATAAGCAATTTGTTTTAGCATATGTATTCATGCTACTATGCCACAAGTAAAACACATTAATAAGGCCATCGTTAAAAGCAGTTACAAGAAGATATTTATAAAAATTCTTATTTTTTTAATACAATCATGCAGATGGACATTTTTTAAATGAAATACTTAAGTTTATTTTACACAAATAAATAACGTATCCTTATAAAAGTTTCGTAACAATATTTGTTATTTATGTAAATAGTATTTGTATGTTTGATGGCCTACCTTTTGTTTTCCAGCTATTAAATATAAAATGTAATAAACATGAATACAAAATAGTTCTTTTTTTGTTCAAAAAGAACATAAGATTTGAATGCATAGTACAACTTAATATTTTAAAGTATAACATTTCAGGAATATTTATGTTTTGAAACGTTTATCAGGCTGTTTAACCACACAATTATGTATTATATATCTGAGCCATTAACGATGACAAGTAAATTAATTCAAATGCTGTGAAATGAATAAATATTTCATACCAATTAAGCTGTTTAACCACACACTTTTTTTTCTTCTAGTACCTATACAGAATAGCCATTAAAGATGACGAGAAAACTAATTATTCAAATTAATGAACAATTCAAATTTTGTCAATTGAATGAATATTTATCCTCAATTTCAAGCTTTTTAACCACATATTTTTGTCCTATGTAGAAAATAGTCATCAAAGATGGCAAGTAAATGAATTATTCAGATAAATGAACAATCAAATGAGTGATAAATATTGGAAGATAATATAAATTTATTGAAACGGTCCAATTAAATCAAATGAATGAACTTTTTAAATGATGTAAAATGAATAAATATTGAGTGAATGAACACTTCTTCAATCCAATGAAAGAATTAATATTAAATGTAAGTACAGAATAGAATTCATGCGTTTTAGTAACTCTGAATGTTTAACTTAGTCTTATCGATCCTTTCTTTTCTTTTCAAAACTATCTAAATTGAATGTAACTACTACTAGTTGTGGTATTTACTTGATTGAGTTCATTGAATTACTCCTCATTAGAAGGGATGTGTAGTTAAATTGCATAAGAGTTAAATGCGGTTATACTGCTCTGAATTCCATGAAATGAAAGCCCCTGAAAGACGAAGTATTCTGGGAGTTAGCAGGGTAGCCAATCCATTGACTGGTTTTTTTCCCAAAAAATATTAAAAATAAGAAAAAATTTAAACTGAAAGAAAAATTACCAGAAAATAACTTAGAGATCCAATCTGTCAATTTCTCATAAGTAATTTATAAGAAATTTCCTTTACTCTAAGAAAGTGAAGAAAATTTATAGTAGTCATTCCTGGACTACTCTTGAAACATTCGTTTTTTTTATTATTTTGCTTGCTTTACTTTTCTACTAATTATAGCTTATTTCACAAATTTATTGCCAAAATCACACGCTTCTATTTGAAATAAAAAACCTAGTTATTTATTACAGATTGAACAGATTATACTAAGTTTTATAGACACAAAAGTATTTTTTAAGCATTTTTTGCTTCGTTCCTCAGAACTTTTTTTTTAAAAAAAGAAGAAAAAAACACTAGGTTTGTTAATATTTATGTTAACTGAAAAAATAAAATACAGAGTGCAAACTTAAGTCCGCATTCTATTCTTAACTTCTGGGCCCTGCAGCTAAGAATTGCAGCTTTGGCTATAAAAAGAATGTCTTGGTTTAGTAAAGTGGTAATGCCATTCAAATTAAAACAACCTACAGCTTCATCTTTGCTGAAAACTGCACAGTTATAGAAAAAGTGACTAACAAAAAATTTATCCCCATTTTCGATTTAGTATCGTGTGAGCATTAATGATTAGAAACACGCTTATAACAAGCAAATGTTTATTCACCATTTCATACACTGTAATGGGATGAAACAATCTTATAAAATGGAAGAAATAGTTCTTTTTTCATTCTAAAATTGTTCCGTCATGTCAAGTAGAAACAATTGTTCCCTTTAAGCAAATGTGTATCTAATGTATAACGGGATTAAATCGATGGTACTGAATAATTTTGTAATTCACCTTTTTCTCTCATCTCTTACAGTTTTTGAGATCGGAAAGCTTACTTCTGCAATTTTTTCTTTCTAGAAGGCGCTTAATACGCTGGATGCTAGGTAGCGCACCCTGCAGAGCATAGCCACTTTAATATACCTAGATATCCGTGCTCCAAATGTAGCTGATTGAAGGTTAAAAGGAAGACGAACTTTAGTAAGCACCCTGTGTAACTATTCTTTAAAAAAAAACAATATTTAATTTTCCTTAACTGCAATACCATAATAACTTATCTGCTGTTTTGTAACAAAAACAGCAGATAAGACATATATTTTTTTAGTATTAAAAACAAGTGTTTAACATTTCATTTCATTTTGTTGTGGACTAAACGTGTTTACGAATACTCCTTTTTTAATAACATGTCATTTAAAACACATATTCATGAACTTCTTTAAAAATGTTTTTGATATATCTAAAAATAATTTCGTTTGTATTCAGGAATGATCCGTTATGTGTTTAATGTACAGGTGACATCAAAATGCTGGCTATAAATAAATCATCTCATCAAAACATTAATGTTACAGATTGAAATATAAAATTATACACTTTTTCATAAATGATTCATCTTATTTATTACTGCTTATTTCATTAATTAAATATTAACAAAGAATTTATGTTTAATATTCTTGAGTTTTTAACTTAAGTTAAATAAAATAATTATGAACTATGCATGTTTATTTCTAAAAACAATAATAGAGTAATTGAACAGGCAGATCTAAATAGGTTTTCTAAACAATTTTAGTGTACTGCTTAACTATTGTACTTGTTTGTTATTCTACTGTTTAACTATTGTACTTGTTTGTTATTCTAAATACCTTCATCTGCCAGCTCTACAAATATCTCAACGTTGAACATAAAGCACTATAATCAGGAATCAAAAGATCAAATTAAGAGAATTCAACTTTTAGTTCGGTAACGAATTCTTGATCCAAATTTTTAAGGATATATTTGTTTTGGTATTTGCTTGATTTGGTAGGATAACAAAGAATTGAAAATTACATAAAAAATTGTTCCAGTAAACAGTAGAGAATTTCCAGTAAACTTAGATAATTTTGGAATTAACCTTAAGGAGTATAAAATAAGCATTATAAAAAAAGTTATAGAACATTACTGCCACATTGCAAAAATAATTTAAATAAATAATCAATAAAGAACAGTTTTTAAAATTATAAAATACAAACATCAAAACCTATTTTTATACGACTGTTATATAATGAATAAAACATATTACACGAAATAATTGATAATTTTTAGTTTTTTTTAAATAATATAATAAAATCAGTTTAAATCGAATTAAAAGTAGAAAAACTATTCGATGCTACAAACGAACACTTTATACCATTTAATAAAGAGAAATTAAATCTGATTCTATCAATTTTTTTAAAGAATATAACTACTAAAAAGTTAGCAAAAAGCATTTATTCATTATAAAAATAAAAGGTATAATTAAAAAATATTTTTTTATAACTAGAAAGATTATATTTCTCAAATAAGGTTTTTTATTCGCAATAAAGATTCAAGAAAGAAATAATTCACAAATTGGTGTCAATTGGTTGACAATATTTAAAAAAAAAAAAAAAAAAAAAAAAAAAAAAAAAAAAAAAANAAAAACAGTAGCATATTTTAACTTACCGCTCCAAATTTATGCAGCACAAGATATTGTTCAGTAGAAGGATTCATGCCAACATTTGAAAGTTTCCAATTCATAAACTAAAAGTTAAAAAAAAGTTGTTTTACTATTACAGTTAAATTAGCTTTGCAATAAATTGTCTTTTGTTAAAACTGATCTAAATTGAAAAAAAGTGTCCATAGAGTTTAGAAAATATAGCACAATATTTAAAAAAACGTTCGCAAGTTCATAGATTTCTTTTTAAAAAAATATTTAGCTTTATTACTAAAGAAATGCAACTTAACTACAAAATTTGACAGACACTGTTTTCTGTTGACATTCTCTTACATAGTAAAACTCTTAAAATTTACATTCATTTTTTAGGGTGAATACAATATTAAAAGAGTCATTGACCTTCGTTCATTCAAAAAAGTAATTATGCAAATTCAATTCAATGCTTGAATGAGGGATTTGTTTTTAATTTCTGAATAGGGGATAAACTGGCTTTAGAACTAAAATGATTTTTAACCCTTTGACGCAGATAGGACACCGGGGTCTCTAATATATTTTTTAATGACGCTCTAATTACAAGCAAAATTTTATTTTGGCAGTTTTAAAGTGCAAAAACAGTATAATAGTTACTAAAAGAATCTTTTAAATTACCAGAATTATATTAGTACTAAAATTTAAAATCCCAAAAAGTAGTTAGAAATTTTTTTTCCATTCATATTTAAAAATTTATCAATAATTGATTTTGCAAAGTACAGAAATTTCAACAATGACTGATTGTTTCTCATAGATCTAAATAACTGGAAATATGCGCAAATTTGAAAAATTGTTTGGATGTAAAACTTGTTTGAAAGATTTTACCTTTAACGTAGATAAAGACACTGGTGTGTCAAGCTTATTTCCTAACCCTAAATTATTAAAATAATAACTATAATATTTTTCAATTACTTTGACCTAAATTAATAAAAAATAATGAAAAATATGTTTAGTGAAGATTCTGCGTCAAAGTGATAGACAACTAATTCTTAAGTCTGGAACATAAAACCAGAAGTATATTCAGGAGAAAATATAATGTTTTACAAGAAATAAATAATGTATACCTTATCTTTAAAATATTCCATCATTCCTACACCAGTTGATACACAGTGAATGAGAACTAATCCTAATACTCTGGAAGGATGAGCGAGCTGAAATTACATAAAAAAATAGTTAGTACGATATTTTATAGTTGTTTAATTTACAATTTTCATAAAATTAAACTAATAAATTTCATAAGATGCAGAAAAAATGTTTCAATTTTTAAATAAACAACGATGTACAGTGCTCAAAAGAAGAAAAAAAAAACGGACCATCCTAAATAACTTTCGATTGGATCATCACGTTTCCAGGACTCAATCTTAAGGGTTCGAGGGGTGACTTCAAACATGCTAATTAATTAGTACAGATGATATTTTATGTTAACAAAATTAGACTCAAAAGCGTATTTTCTCTTGAATAAACATGTCTCTTTATTACGAATTTGGGGGTTTTCACATTCAAAACATGGAGGGCAGCCGCAATCAGGAAAATATGGTCCCAACAGTTTGATCAGGAAAGCGGTACAAAATATGACCCTCTTAATGTTTATTTTACTTTTTGCGCATTTCGCCATACATTAAGTATTTTTTTTTAAGCAAATTAAAAACTTTTTGCACACAATTGTAACATTTAGTCAAAGATAATTCCAAGCTAAAAAATAAGTATTATAGTTTTTATTAAGTAATAGCCGTAAAAATTTGGAATTCTAAGGTATATAAATTTTTTAAATCATTTTAAAGAATGCAATTTTACGTAACAAAATACAAAACTTCGACAAAATCGGTTGAATAGTTCCTGACAAATTGAATTAAAAAAAAAAAGATTTTTTAAAAAATTCGATTTTTTAGGAACTATTCGACCAATTTCTCTCATATTTCGTATTTTGCCACGCAAAACTATATTCTTTTAAAAGATGTAAAAAATTGTTTACATTATAATAGTCAAAACAATTTTTGAATTTAATAAAATAAAAAATTTCTAAAATTTATATTTTGCATGGAATAACTAATGATAAATTAATGTCAAATATCTAACGTTTTATGCAGTTGTCAAATCAAATTGATTTTGATAACTTAAATTTTTTTCAATATCTAATTACAAAAAAAAAAAAAAATATTTAGACACCGAGGAAATTACGGAACTATATATTCATTTCTGTACCACCTTTATTTGAGCCTTATTTCCGTGGTATTGTTTCATTTATACGTACAGTGCGAAAAAATAAATAAATGGACCACCCTGAATTATTTTTGATCTAATGATCGAACGTTCTAGGATTCAATTAAAATGTTTCAAAGGGGTGACCTCAAATATGCTAATTAATTAGTGCAGACGATATTTTAAGTCACGAAATCAAACATAAAATGATAAATATTTACTAAAAGTTATTTTTTGCATGGAATTATCTTTGGATAAAGAATTGTATGCAAAACGTTTTCAATTTGCTGAAAAAGTTCTAGAGATGTGGCGAAATACGCAAAAAAGTAAAATTAATATTAAGGGATCCAAACTTTGGACCGCCTATCTGACCAAACTACTGTGATCATATATTTTATAGTTTGCGGTTACCCCCTATTTTTTTGGGGGGGGGGCAGAAATCCTAATTTGTTGAAAAAGAGGTATGCTCATGCAGAGGAAGTACGTTTTTGTCTGATTTTGTAACTTAAAATATCGTTTGCATTAATTAATGAGTATTTTACTACACCCTAGAATCATTACACCCTAGAATCATTAAGATTAAGTCCTAGAACGTGAAAATCCGAGCATTAGGATCAAAAGCTATTCAGCGAGCATTATCTGGGGACTGTTTAGAAGAAATTTGGGTCCGTTAACGGACCCTTCACAAAATATCTTCACAAAAACGGACCCTTCAAAAAATATTTTAACTTAACAACGGACCCTTCACAAAATAATTTATCTTTTAATCGGACCCTTCACAGATTTGTTAATCTTCATTGTTTTCCTAATCAAATTAAACCTTCCGGGGGAGGGGGAGAGAAAGACAGATGTAAGCAAACTAAGTTTTGTCTTCGGCAGACGCTTCTTCNCAAAATAATTTTTGAATCAAATCAAATAAAAAATTTCTAAAATTTATATTTTCAATGGAATAACTAATGATAAATTAATGTCAAATATCTAACGTTTTATGCAGTTGTCAAATCAAATTGATTTTGATAACTTAAATTTTTTTCAATATCTTATTACAAAAAAAAAATATTTAGACACCGAGGAAATTTTTCTTTTCGAAACGGAACTATGTATTCATTTCTGTACCACCTTTATTTGAGCTTTATTCCTGTGGTATTGTTTCATTTATGCGCACAGTGCGAAAAAATAAATGGACTACCCTGAAAACTCTTGATCTAATGATCGAACGTTCTAGGATTCAATCTAAATGGTTCAAAGGAGTGACCTCAAATATGCTAATTAATTAGAGCAGACGATATTTTAAGTTACGAAATCAAACACAAAATAATAAATATTTACTAAAAGTTATTTTTTGCTTGGAATTATCTTTGGATAAAGAATTGTATGCAAAACGTTTTCAATCTGCTGAAAAAGTTCTAGAGATGTGGCGAAATGCGTAAAAAAATAAAATTAACATTAAGGGATCCAAACTTTGGACCGCTTATCTGACCAAACTATACTGTGATCATATATTTTATAGTTTGCGGCTACCCCCTATTTTTTTGGGGGGGGGGGGCCAGAAATCCTAATTTGTTGAAAAAGAGGTATGCTCATTCAGAGAAAGTATGTTTTTGTCTGATTTTGTAACTTAAAATATCGTTTGCATATATTAATGAGTATATTTGAAGTTACACCCTAGAATCATTAAGATTAAGTCCTAGAGCGTGAAAATCCGAGCATTAGGATCAGAAGCTATTCAGCGAGCATTATTATATCAAAGGTTTACGTTCAATATTATTTAGGGCCGTACTGTAATATTTTAAATAAAATGAAGTTTACATTTTACATAATTGAATATTTATTTTTAATTTGAAAATGATAAAATACAATTTTGTTTAATTGCTGACTTGATTTGCAAAGCAGTAAAATGCTGTTAGAGAATTGTTAAAAGAAATTGTGGTGTGAAATCAATTTTGGCTAGGATTCATAGACTGAAAATAAAATTAAATCGAAACGTTGGCACAAGGTTAGTAAATAACGCCAGAGCCAAAACATTTAAGTTAAAACACTTCGCATTGCTAACGTGATGTAATGATTTAACATTGAACTTTGCTGCGGGTATAAAAAGAAAATGCTTTTAATAAAAGTATTTCTCTTCTTGACATCTCGTTTTTCTAACAAACAAAACTAGATTACCGGTACAAATTTATTTTTGATGAGTATTTTATACAAAGAAGCCAATCCTAAAAATTATATGCAGTTAAAAATATCAATCTAAGGCAATCGATGTGCAAAATGCAACTAAAAATATCAATCTAAGGCAATCGATGTGCAAAATGCAATTAAAAATATCAATCTAAGGCAGTCGATGTGCAAAATGCAATTAAAAATATCAATCTAAGGCAATCGTTGTGCAAAAAGCAAGGCATTAAGGCGTCTGAAAGCAAGCAAGGAATTACGGAGATGGTGCCAGAAAAAAAAATCATGTTCCTGTTCAATTTTTGACCACAACAATAATTAAAATAGAATCATAACAAAGTATATTTTGTAATACTTGTAATGAAATATTTATTATGGTTGTAGCGTTTATGTAATAATGTAAAAATCAATTTCGAAAATTTTATTTATCACTATGAGACAATGTTGAAACTTTATTTAAATTATGACAAGTTATTTTTCATTTTTTGAGAACTGGGGAAATTTAGTTTATGTTAAATAATGCCTTTTGTTTTGAAATTTTAGCAATATTTTATTATTGCTGCATTTTTCTGTAATATGTGTGTAGCAAATAAAATAAAATAAACTATTGAATTTTATGTTGTCCTACTTACAGCAAATCTAACTAATATGTTTGCTCCGGCTCCTTCTCCAAATCCCACAACTAATTTAACCCTGTAATAAAGATTATATCATTAAGAATCTCCTATAATTCATTCAAACATGAAATGCTCTACTAAAATTTAACATTAAACAAAGGCATTGAACATATCTCGAATGAATAACATAGTGATTAAATAGTTATGAAAACTCTTCAAAACAAGTCTTTAAAAATTCTTGTAAGTATACCATTATAAATAGTCTTTTGTCATTATAAGATCTAGATAAAAGCTTGAGATCAATTACTTATTAAACATTCATTTTCAAAAATAAAAGAAACTTTAAAAGTTTAAATTTTTTAAAATATTTTTTGATGTATGGTGCTACATAAAAAAGGAAAACGTAAAATTTTCACAAATATTTATCTGAACACAATTTTATATTCACATGCAAATTACAATATATGATTAAAGAGAAAAGAAGAAAAAAATTGTAAAAGTACTATAAGTTGTTGATCCTCATTTTGTTCATATCTCATTTTTGTCGCTATGTAAAATGAATGAAAATACACAGTAAAAATATTTTACAATAAGTATAATTTGTTTAAGCTTAGAACGTATAATTCCTTTTTTTAAAAATCTTTTTCACAAAAATGCTAAAAAATTTTTTTTTATTACTCGATTACTTTAAGTTGTAATAGTTAAGTACTTTTTAAACAAAATATATTACATTATATTGTATGAAGAGTTTTGAAATTCAGAAGTTTTAAATATAAATCTCATACTATAAAATCTTAAAAAATCGTAGCTATTATAAAAGTATAATCAAAGTATTTTAATATATAATGCCAAAAAAGGGCATATATTTTTTAAAAAAATATCATGTTAAACGGAATTCATGTATACATTTCAAATTTAAATAATTGAAATTGTTATGAAATCTGAAATAATGCCAAAAAAAGGAGACTTTTTTTCGATGCAATTTAAACTTACTACACTGTAAGAACTGAGGAGTAATAACAATCCGAATTCTGTGTTGAAAAATTACAAAAATTGTGAGAATGAATACTTTATTTCAAGTTAATACCAAATCGAGCGTTCATGCACATTTGAAAGGATTAGGTTAAATCTTAGCATCAGTAATTACTACAGCTTACACCAAGTTCAGATGCATTTACTTCATTTACAGAACATTTCATAGAAGCAGAAGTAAACTGCTAAAAGATTTCAGTCGTATAATGATGAAAAAGTTCTCACGAGAAGATTTACATGAATTTGTCAATTGTATTAAATAATTCTATGATATTCAATTTCTATCCACTTTGGTTTTGCTTAGCTTTGTTTGAATTCATATTAACATTTTCTTTGCGTTGTGTGTATGTTTTATGAACAAACGAAGTTAAATTTACGAAATATTCTATATATATACGCATCCTAAATTAATGATTCTTACTTTAGATTGTATCGATCATAAAAATGACTTAATTGATTCCTATGTGTATCATATCTTACTGTAATTATAATTTTCAGTGTTACTGAATAACGAAAAGGGTGGCGAATACTTTACACCGAGTAGTGAAAAAAAAAATTTCTTGCTGTAGTTAAACATCTAGATTCAAAAGTTATGTGAGTTGTTTTACTTCACCGATTTGGTATAAAGTAGTTGAAATCATTTTTTGGTGATGAGATATACTGAAATGGTTTAAAGTTGCTTACTTCAATTGATCTAAAACACAGACAAGATCTTCACCCATCTGTTGAATTGTAGGAAACTGAAAACTGAAATAAAAAATTTATATTAGAAGTCTCATTGTTAGACAATAGTTTTGCTTTTAAATATTTATCTGGGATTTAATTTTTATAAATGAAATAAAAAATAATTTGAATTGTAATAAATTTTGTAAACGTTTGAAATCAATAGCGTTTAAGCCAAAGCTAAAAAATATTTTTAAAGAATCAATGAAGGAATAAAAATACTACTAACTCATTGGGAAGGTCATCGGCATTGTCATCTTGACCAGGCACATCGATATGAATGAACACAGATCTGGGTTTGATTTCGGACATACAGGGGTGCTCCACAAAATCTTGGAAAGTGGAATCTGGAATATTTAAGACAAGTGCTTAACATAAAAATCATTACAAAACACATTCGGAAAATTTAGAAAAATTAATTTTTCTTTCTTTAAGTAATTTTGGGTCATAAGACTGTTGTTCTAAAAAGATTTAGAGATCTGTGAGCTCTTTTATTTAATTATTAATTATTACGTTTTTAATTCTTAAAGCGTACTTTTTTAAGAGGAAAAATAGTGCCTTTTATGAAATATTTTATGAAAAATAATTATCAAAAATATTTAAGAACCTGATTTATTTAACATTTGTCGACTAATTCAAGCTTTGCCTTGATGTAATATAGCATATATGATATAAGTAAAGGCTCAACTATTCATATTTATTTTATGAAAAAATTGAAAAGTATTTTGTGACTTGTAAACGAATTTAACTTAGTCGTCATTCTGTTTTAAATATTAACCTCATGCTTTTTCTTAATTTTAAGATTTAAAAAAATACTTCCATTTATTTTGTAGTACCTTCATAATTATATAGCGAGAAAGTTTTTGAACTTCTTCCCTAGCCTTTTTAAACTGATATATACATTTTACTTTCTTCTTATTCTCTCATGGCTTTTGACATTTTAGTTGTTTGCTTTAAAAAAATGCGACACATAATAACATTCTACTGTAAACATTTTGTTCTAAAGAAGAAAAAAACGAGTAAACTAAAAAATGAAAACCTGAATTGTATAATGCTGCGGGCTGATTTTAGCTTTAATATCGAAGTGAGAGAAATGAATTAAGTTTTTTTTGTTTGCTATTACATTTTAAATACTTTGAACAATATCACGATAGCTATAAATAAATAGAAAAAGTACACAATATATAAATTAGTTATTATTTGGTTTTATTATTCACATAGCTTATTATTTGCACAATTATTTTCCTATTAATATTCTTTTTATGTTAAGTTTTGCCCTAAAAATGCTCAAAACACTAATTTAAACTATGAAATTCTTTAATTTTAATCACTGAGTTTATGTTAAGCAAAAAGATTTAAATAATCCCAAATTATATGATAAGAAGTATTAAGTTTTAAATATTATTTGTATTTTAATTAATAAACTAATTATATTCCTCAAATGATTTTGTTAAAAAAATGTTCAGTTTTAAAACAAAGATTAATGCTGCAATTTTTATTTTATCAAAATGAATCAGAAACAATTTTTTACTTAAAACATGACTAACTAACTAAATTGAATTAATTTTGTATTTAAAAATTTCCTCGTGTTCGTAAAAAATAGCTATCATATATTTTAAGATAAACCGTCTAGATGTTTTAATAAAAGATACTCAATCTATACCAGATTTTTTTTCTGAAATGATTTATTTCGTTTAAACGATTGTTTATAGAAGTGCTAATTAAGTTTAAAAAATACTAGTAGATAGTTTAATTAGTCAAAGATTTAATGACTATTTTTAAAACAGTCCATTTTTCATAAGTTAATTTTATGTGCTTAGATTTATAAGACTTCTTTTCATATAGACAGTACAAATATTTATTATTGTAAAGAAAAATATTGACTTACGATTACTTCCTATATCGTGAACAGTTAAAAATATGGCTTTTTTCTCAACATTGTTGAGATCACCCTGCAAAAGAATCAAAATTAGATATTTTAATCTGTTTAATTTGTACACAATTTTATTCAGACATTTATAAAAGGAAATTCATTTATTTACGAAGGTATTTGTCGATTTTAAATGTATTCAACTCATTTAATAAAATTAGGCAGTTCGTGCTGTTTGTTGAAATAGGTTTTGGTGCCATTTCCACTTACTCAAACTTTAATTTATTTTTAGAGATTTTAAATATTTAAAAAATTTAAAACTAGCTGTAATGTACTGTGTTATGTCAGCAAACCTTTGTTTTATATCTTTTAAGCTAATTAAAGTTACTAAAAATTGGAGTACGTGTAAATAACACCAAGAGCTATTTTATTAGAACTGCTTCATTTTTTAAAAAAAAATCATATTATATGATGTCAAACTTAGTAAATATAATTTTTATAAATGGTGGAATAACCCACAATGCATTTCACACAGAAAATATAAAATCACATCACCATCACATCAAATTCGATAGTGGAATAACTAAGGGAATTATTTCACTATTGGATTGAAAAAGTTTATTATGATTTCGACTGACGGTTACAATGGTAGAATAATTTTTTTTTATTACTATCACCTTTAATCCGACAATGGAATAGCTATGCAAGTTATTTCGCAATCTGATTAGAGGTGTAAATTTCGACCAAACTGTGCAACGGTTGTATAAAATATTTTCACCATTACATCAAATTTGACAGTGGAATAACTAAGAGAATTATTTCACTATTGGATTAAAAACGTATATTTCGACATACAGTTCAATGGTAGAATAAAATTTTTACATTATCATCTCTGATCCAATGATGGAATACTATGCGAGTTATTTCATAGTCTGATTTGAAGCGTGTATTTTGAGAAACGGTACAATGGTAGTATAAAAAAATTTCACTATTCCCTATTTTCTGGTAATAGAATAACTCCGGTATGACGGTAGTATAAAAATAGTTAGTCTACTTTTAATAATCATATAATACCATTAAACTTACAGCAATACAAATGCTAGTACGTTCAGCAAACCGTGGTAGATTATAAAGCCAATGTAACTGTTGAGAAATTAACCGTTTCCCCTTAAATTCTCTAATTATATTCTTTCATCAATACCTGCGAGTCGTTAAAAAATGCAACCGATATATCAGTTTGTGAAGAGAGATCAAAACGGAGTCAATGTGGTCTTTTCCACTTATAGTGTACTGAACTGAAGTATTTATGGAAGGACACAAAAAAGTTCATAATAACTCGATGCGTTATGCCTTATCTGTATACTTAATCTAATATTAGATTAAGTATACAGGGTGTTACATAATGACTGCCCTCAAGGCATATTTTTAGAGTTTTTTTTAAAACGTGAATGAAAAAAAAACTATGCTGCCGTGTAATTGAAAATATAACATAAGTGCTTTACGATTGATTTCGAGAAAGTGGCTTAACATCTAATTTTTTTTCTCCATTGTTAATGCTATAAACGCTAAAATAGAATTTCAGGAAACTGATAAAATAAAATTTTCGAAAATTGATTTTGCAATGTCATACGAAGATGCCAAATATATAAATATCTTAGTTATGAATTTTTAGTCGTCTACGTTGATTTTTCTTTTGCACGGCAACATATAGATTAGGGGTCTTAAATTAATAAAGAAAAAAAACATCTAGAAAAGTTTATTATTTGGGCTGAAAAGAAAAAAAGCACTATTTTATAGTTTGGAGTCTGAAGAAGAACCGAGTAAAATATTTGTGTGAAGATTTAACAGTAACAACATACATAATATACATAAAAACTTTTAACAAGAAAAATATTTTTCAAAATTTTTTTATTTATTGAACAGTATCATTTCAAAAATAATCTTAACGTCTTTAGGAATTATTTGAAAGTTGCACAATAAAAGTTATTTATAACCTTCGAATATATTTATGACATAATTCAAGCAGTAACAAACACAGAACCATTAACAGCTGAGGAAATAAATAACGAAAAGTAGGTCATAAATCTCTAAATACTTATTTGATTTCATTATAGGATTTATCTGTGCAAGACAATCCTAAATATTTAAAGAAATCTGAAAGACAAAACTGGAAACCCATACTTTGTTCCAAAATAACACCAGCAAACATAAGCCGATGAAAATATATAGAACAAAGAAAGAAAAGAAAAAGAAGAAAGTTATGAATACATTATAGCCAACCACCCCTTTTCTCTGCCAGAGTTCGCTTTATAAATAATAAACAAACCCTTTTATCACTTTCTAAAATGCATCCCTTTTGCCGGGGCTTTCATTTCATTTCGATGCGCCCCTCTCATTATTTCAACCCTTCGGTGGAAGCCGAATCTTAGAGAAACAAAAGGATTTATCTTTGGAATGCATAAGGGACTTTTCTCCCTTTTCCCTTTTAAACGAGTGGACGGGGCCCGGTGATTGAACTCGAAAGATCCTTTGCTCTTCCTCTTCTTCACTCACCATCTCAGATGGTGATTGCGCATGCGCATCAGCATCTTCCGTGACATTTGAGAAAGAATCAGTTTGATTTTTCGTTTCCAGGTACGACCTCGTGTCTTCCGGACGGGGTAAAAAAAAAGTATGACAAATAAATAGAGAACGTAAAGGCTTATAATACCTGTCACACCCATAAAAGCAATATATGTATTTATTTTTCATGGTAGACGTCTTCTTCCAATAAAAAATCTGTAGGAGATGGCTCTATTTAATATTTCTTGCTGCTTATTCCGAAATGCTGTTCTTCACGGAATACAATACGAAGTATAAAAATCAAGTTTAAAACAAAGCATAATTTTTTTTTATTACCGTTTCATTAATCATGGAAATCAAAATCTAATTCGGAAGTTATCTTTGTCTCTGAGTTGGACTCAATAATATCTAATTTCTTTACGAAAATTCTACGAAAAATTAACTTCATTATTTATAAAATATTATAAATAATTGCATTCATAAATAAAAAGTTAAAAAAAAATGTAAGAAAAAAGAGGTAAGATGTTCTTTTTGCATAAGTAATATAAATTTATTAAAACTATATGATTAAGTACATTTGAAGCTAGTAGATTATATTTTATAATTTACTTTAAACTATAGGCTCTATATGCTTTAGAAGTTTATTAATGAGTAAAGTCACTGGTGTATTTCAGAATAGTACATATTGTATTCTCCAACATATAATACCCCAAGGTAAATAAAATGGTTTATTTTCACTCAATTTTCATCAAAAGTAATTTTGTCTCGATATCTAAGGCTCAATATCTATATATTATTTGTCTTCTGAGTTGGATTAAAATAATGATATCTAATTTGTTTTCAGAAATTCTACGAAATATTAATTTTATTATTTATATACTATTATAAATAATTGCATTCACAAATAAAAAGTTTAAAAATGTAAAAAACGATTAAAGATGTTCTTTTCACGACATAAGTAATATAAATTTATTAAATATAAAACTATTTGATTAAGTTTTTTTGAAGCTCTTAGAATATATTTAACTTACTTTGAACAACGCGCTCTAAAATATTATGCTTCAAAAGTTTATAAATGGGCCAAGTAATTGGTGTATTTCGGAATAGTACATATTGTATTCTTCCAACATATTACAATACCTACAGGAAAACAAATATGGTTTATTTTCGCTAAATTTTCTTTAAAAGTAAATTTATCCGAATATCTAATTCAGAAGCTATATTTCTGAATAAAATTAAAATAATATTTAATTGTTTGAGAAAGTTCTACGAAAATTAACTTCAATATACAATCTTAAAAGTCGTTTTCACAAATAGAAAAAAAAAGTTTAAAATATGCAAAAAACGAGAAAGGATGTTCTTTTTTAACATAGGTAATAAAAACTTAGTATTAAAACTATATGATACAGTATATTTAAAATTCTTAAATAATACTTTATAATTTACATTTGATTACGAACTAAATACTTATACTTTAAAAGTTCATAAATATGTAAAGTAACTAGTGTATTTCAGAATAATACATATTGTAATCATCCAACATATTATAGTACCCAAAGGAAATATGCTTTATTTTCACTCTAAATTTTCTTTAAAGGTCCCGATATCTATTTAAAAGGTAATCTTTGAGTAGGATTGAATGCTATAAGGTCACAGAGATGAGAGGTTGTTACACCGAATGTTATGTATTGTAATTTAATGTGTATTTGTGATGTTATGTGTCATCAAATGTTATGTAAATTTATTTAAGTAGACTATTATCGGTAGAGTATAGTAATGCTCTTGATAACAGTCTAAATGCAAAATTAAAGTAAACTTTAAACTGTTATCACACTTATATTCAATTCTATATTTTAAATTTTTAATTAAATTAGAAATGTACCTAAACGTTTACATAAAGATTTAAAAATATTTAATATTTCTCAACTTTNAGAGATATTTATTTATCAAATGTTATGTAAATTTATTTAAGTAGACTATTATCGGTAGAGTATAGTAATACTCTTGATAACAGTCTAAATGCAAAATTAAAGTAAACTGTTATCACACTTATATTCAATTCTATATTTTAAATTTTTAATTAAATTACAAATGTACCTAAACGTTTACATAAAGATTTAAAAATATTTAATATTTCTCAACTTTACTATGCTTAAAAAGAAATTTATAATGTGTTGTCCAGAAAGTTTATTTCAATATTTTAAGGTGGTGTATAGACAGGCTTGAATGATTAGAAGTAAATTTTATCCACACATATTTTAAAAGAAGACCAAGTTACAGGAATTTGAGACAGAAAATGAACAAAAGCGACAAAAAAAAGAAAGATATTTGAGAACCCAGAAATAGTTGTATAAGTTTGGAAGGGATGTTCTACCTCATCCCTCATATTTACAAGGCTCCGCGCCCTTATCTTCAGTTATTTCGATTGTTTATAAAATTTTCTTGATGAAAAAACTACTCTGAGGAAACTTTAGTCGATATAAAAGGCAAGTAGGAAAGAATTTTGCTGAAAAACTTGCG